ATCCGAACAGGATCCGAACTAGGGTACGATTCGGCCTAGTGGGAAAAACGACTATATAAACCTAACCTCTATGATAGCTTATTAGGTAGATTTTTGATATCCTTTCGTACAAGGCCTATAGGTGTCTATTTGAATCAAGGCTCGTTTGATGTCCCACGCACTCCCATATGCCTCTGAGTGACACTACCGCCGATACTGATCCGAGTATTCTTGCCTGCGCCGTTACACCTATCTCCTAAGAGAGCCCATTGGAAGGCAGTCTGGCTACCCTACACCTGTCCCTCATACCTAACTGCTCTTCAACACTATGTTTTCAGAGAGCTAGTAATAGCTTAGCTAGATAGAGACTGAGATACTACAGCTACAATTCGCACTACAAATTCCCAAATCGTAAATAGCTAGATGGAGTAGCCTGTAGCTAAACCCTTATATAGTTCCAAGCTACATGGACTACAATGGAATGATAATAAACAGTAATGCTTAAACACTAGTCCTAAGCTGCATTAGAACATGTTATAGTATGTACCTAACCTCCTTCATCAATCCTTCTTAGATAGGTTGGGTACTCATTCAGGCCTTTTCAATATGCTGAACGTGCATTTTTTCCTTGCTGTCGTTCGTTTCAATGGCGCCTGTAAATGTATCGACTGAAGTCGATGCGAACTTGCGAGCTGAGACTTTATACTCGAAAGCATGTCAAGTTCGCCGTAGGTCCTACCCTTGGGCTCGGGTAGACGGAAATAGCACCAGAAAATGCAGAGAGAGCATGATCCAGCCCAGAAGAACCCGGATTTAGCACCCCAGTTCCATGCTGACGGATTTAGCATGTTCGGGGTAAGGACATTGTTGATGATACCACCGACGTTGTACAGATTGCGCGCAAGAACGATAGTCTTCTGTCGGAGCCGAGTTGAGGATAGCTCAGCCACGAGGGAGTAACACACCGGACCAACAGAGGCATCGTAGATGAAAGTGTATACAAAAAGCATGGATCCAATAGCCCACTGTTCCCCAGTGTTGGTTTTGGCCACTAATCCAAGAGATCCAGTAAGAACGAGTAGCACGAAGAGGATCACAAGGCCGCCGATGTAAAGAGTGCGCCGGCCGAATTTGGTGATGAGAGCCCACAAGCAGAACACGCCTATAGCGCCCAGAGAATACTGTACAAGGGACATCGTAAAGGCGTTAGAGGTATCCAGACCAGCCTGAAGGTAAAAGTAGGTTGAGTAACCCATGAAACCAGATCCGCACGCTACTTGAATCGGCTAGACAATTGCGCAGATCTCTGTGCGGCGAAGGTCTGTCTGCTTAAAACAGTCCAAGTAGCCAATGGACTCGGTTGCAGCTGTTTCTATCTCGTTGGTATGTACCATAATGGCAATTGTTTCGTCGGCGTTGAAGCTCTCGAGTTGGTTGGCTGAAGTAAGACGGAGTACCATTGTCTTGGCCTCTTCGACACGCCCCTGGCGGACCAGCCACCAGGGTGATTCTATTATCCTGTTAGTTCCGTGATAAAAGATCGCTCATGATCAGATACTTACCAGGCGCGAGAAAGATACCGACTATCAAGGGAATGGGCCATATCCACTGCAGAGCATACGGAATACGATATGCCCAATGATCCTCGCGGGTCGCTACACCTTTGAGGACAGCTGAGGCAAGAAATTGCCCGATAACTCAGCAAAGATTGACATAAGTTGTGAGGTATGCACGGAGGGCGACTGGGCAAACCTCAGCGGCGTAGGTAGTCGTCAAAGTCTGGAAGACTCCCCAGGGGATACCTAGCAGAATAAGGCCGACTAGCAGTTGCTCGACTCGTGATGCAAAAAACACGATAAAAATCAAGAAGTTGACTGCAAGGAGGGCACCAATCATCGTCTTCCTGTAGCCGAAACGGTCGGCGATCCATCCATTTAACATGAGACCAAGAAGCTCTCCAACAACAGCGCCATTTGAAAGTCCAGTCTGCCACGCAGCAGCAATCTCAAACGTTATGTCTGGAAGTTGGACACCGAATTGTCTCTTGAAAGCTGGACGGCGAAGAGGTTGGCGATGAGAACAATGTCGAAGCCCTCCATGATAATGGCAGCGGACAGCAGAATAGACCAACCAATGGCTTTAGGATAGAGCTTGAGTCCCTGCCACAATGTCATGTTGTGTTCAGCCTCCGTGGCCTTCGCAGCGTCGAAATTGATTTGGTAGGCATCCTTCTTGTTGATAGGCATTGGGTCAGTGATGGTCGAGTCAACATGGACTTTCTCATCCACTCCGCCATGTCCGCTAGTCGGGGTAGACATGACGGGATAACGGTCGAAGCCGTTGTGTTTGGAACAATGAGTACAGGAGTTGAAGAAAGAAGATATGGAATAGGAGAGGAAGGTAATAGCTGGAGAGCTTGGGTTTGAGTCGTCCTGTGCCTATAGAGCCCTGTATCAGGGGCAACTTTATATCAACATTTCTGTTAATTGTTTGTACATCCGTGATGTTGACTTAGGGACTAACAACCCCGTGGGGAGTTCAACCCCAGACTTAAAAACATCCCGAAAAAACGCCCCGAAACTTGGAGCCGGGCAGACCACACACTACTAGTACGCAAAGCAGAGGATGTCGTTAAGATCTAGTGTAGTTCTAAACATCCCGAAAAACATTCCGTCGACTCTAGCTGAAAGTATGGTCGGTCTCGGACCAAGATCACTCAGCTAGTCGACGCAATCTGGAACAGAACAAGCATTATGATTTAGACTACGTGCTGTTAATAGGCTTTGATTCGTTCGACATATCCCACTTAGAGAGACTGACGATAATGAGTCTGGTTACCCATGTTACGGGCCACAGGGATAAGCCGATTTAGCTAGGATACGCAAAGTGGCTCAATAGAAACTTGACATCCGATATCAAACCAATAAGAGATATTGAGAATTCGCGCGTATGATCCTACCGCAATAGCCTTCTACCCGGTACCCATTCAGATCGTTCCCTGGACATCGTTTGCATCGTTACATATCTGTCAGATGAGTGGCAGCTGAAGCCGCAGAATTCGAGCGTGGATCGGGGTATCAGGATTCTGTGTGTAGCTAATCAGAGCCTTGTTGGCAAGGGTATATCACAAAGGCGGGCGGGTCAAGCAGGATGTGACACAGCTGGAGCACTTAGTTGCTGTAAGAGAGAAGATGCTGGTGGAAGAGCATCCTGATCGACTGACTTCGCAGGACAAGCTTGCATGAGCATACGGCGCCGATGGACAGATCCAAATGGCCGTGGAACTGATAAAGTATGTAATTATTCTTGTTGTTAAAGGATGACATCTTTGAGCTCAACATATGTGTCAACACTTGATTAGCATGTTGTCATATCTCCTAATCTATACGTCGCCCGTCCCATCAATAGGTTCCAGCATACGAGATACCGTATATGAGCGCTTTATGGATCTCTTTTTTCGCTTACTACTCAAAAATAAAGTTAAGTCGCTGTTGCCACGCCGTGTGAGCACACTGTTGAGCTTCTCTAATCTTACTCTATGGAGCACATAAGGTGAGAGCAAGTAATGCTGCTACAATATGTCGCATCTTTTGGGTTGGTGTTGTTAACAAGAATTTGAGACTAAGTGAATAAGCGTTACGTTGTCTATGACACTTGCACGGTAAAGTCCATTGCTCAAGGGCAAACTCAATGAGGCATATATGTACATCGAGCGCACAATCTTCTATCGATCTCGTTCGAATGTGTCTGCATGTATGTTTTACTAACTCCTCTTGCGCGGCATGTAGCAAGTTCAGAAACTCTATCGAACGACGCCCATTCCTACGGCTACCGCCTCGACACCTACAACTTCGCAACCACCTACAACCATTAGTAAAGACGTGCCTCGGCCCACTCAAACCCAGGACTGCGCTAATCCACCGTGTTAGAAATAGTACGTTACTGTAAAAGGTGACGGCTGTTAGGCAGTTGCGAGTGCGGTGGGTATCGCACGTAAGGACTTTCAGAAATAGAACCCGGGCGTTAGGGAATGTTCGCAGCTGTATCCAGACTACTATGCTGTCTGCGTAGGCGGTTGATCGAGCCGAGTGTAGCTATCACCAATCTCGTTTACCCACCTCCAATGATTAGCGCGCACCATCAACTTTGGTAATTTTGAAATGCAAGCGTGCACGCAATGATAACCAGTAGGATAGATAGTAGTCCAGGCGAGCGCCCAGGCATTGAAGTCACGTGCATAACCAAGGTTCCCTGCTTCCCTTCTGCGGGAAAATTAGCGGGGATGGCCAAAGCTTAAAACAAGTTGCGCATTATCCGGCGCTTGGCCACGCCGGGGGTGATGATTTGGACTGATCATTCCCACTACACGTCAAGCGTGATCGATTTCGTGCCTTACAGAAACCCACCTACTATAGAAGGACTGTTTGCTACCTCTTTGTGTGGCATATCTCTTTGCATAGTGCGAATGCTAAATCGACGCTTGTGTCTCCAACAACGTACCCACATTTCCTCCTTGTAGCAATCAACGGCCGATTCCACTTTTCGACAATTCCAAGGCCACTCCTCACACATTGTTTGCCTGGTACCGACATGCCATGTCGTCACCTGCCGCCTCCGAGACTAATTCCGAGGTTCTCAGACGGTGTCAAGAGATCTTGGCACAGCAAGAGTCGGGTCCGAAGGAGTATCATGAAATCGAAGACAAGCTTGCTTTGACTCCCTTACAGCCAGACACAAAATGGGGTTTTGTTATCGTCCGCGCTGTCTATGGTCCATCTAGCGATGCGCCGTGGGCCCAAATACTCCAACTTATTCGTGCAGAGATCTCGGAGTCTTTGACAGAGGCAGATCAATCAGAGCTGCTTTCACGTCACGAGATGACCATCATTGAGGATGAAGCAATGCTCGCCGGCGCGGATTCATCCGGCGCAGCGGCATACGCCGCGCGCCGCGCATTTCGCGCTTGGGTAGCGGATGATCTGCCCCAACAGCTCCCCGATAACTACCTAGACGAGCTAGGCGGACTTACACAGTTTCGTGAACAATTGCTTAGCAATACAAAGCACCACGCGGGCAATCCTTTGAGCATTATGCCGCCTCGATGGCGATACTGCATATTCGTAGATCAGCATTGCTTACGCTCGCTGGAGGGAGGGCCTAAGGAGCCTGAATTGAAAGATCCAGCCTTGAAGATTCTGACCACAGACTGGGACGGCGAAGTAACAGAGGTACCCGCTGAAGGATTTACTGAAGACTGGGATGGCGGCGAGACTAATGATGATCACGAAGACGTTGGATGGATGTGGATCGATATGACGGATTATGCTTCTAAGTACACTCAATTGACTTCTGCATTTGGATGGGAAGAATACTACGAGCGGCCTCAAAGGGGCTACGTGGAGACCACAAGATCCTCCCATGACTTGTCGTAATTTGATAGGTCTGAATGCTATTTGAGGTGGTTTTTGATATGATCGTGAAGATTAGAGGGGAGGCGTCCCAGGGAACATGAGTTCGTTGACTTCGCAGAGGGGCTTGACAAGGTATTTTGAGAATATCTGAACATACACCTGATAGATGGTTCTCGCTCAGGGCGTCGCTAGCAGTACCATGATTGTATGATGACGCTACTGTTTATTCTCAGAAAATCGATATGGGTATGAAAGCCATGGAAAGAAGGATTCTGCGCGCATCGAAACTCTTTTGGGAGCCCATCGATCTTGCTTGTTCCTTGTGGCTATTGAAAGATTGAATGATCGGGTTGTTAGGTGTAGCCAAAAGGTAGCCAGTTCATGCGCTTCATGTTCACTCGGAACAGGTCCGCAACGCTCTCTTTTCACCAGATACCAAATCTTGGGTTTCAGGATCGCGAAGTTCGGGGCTAGAATGGTGGAGCTTGTCTACAGGGTTAACATTCTACTCAATTCATGGGAACTTGAAGTTGTTAATACCGTTGAATCTCTCGTCAGACAGGTTGGCAGCACCTGTACCCTCTGAAAAGACTGCTAGATTCTGGAACACTGATTTACATGGAGCCGACACTAAATAGCAAGATCAACACAATCTTTCGCGATTCTGACATCTGAGTCCCAGAACAATCGGTATCAGTAAGATGATGACCATTATGTCTGTAATTTGAGAGAAGTATAGAACCCCTACTCCATGTAACACTTACTAGCTGACTGTGTACACACACTAGCCACACGTGCTATGTCAGTTCCGACTCAAAAAAGCCTGCTATCAACCATGCTGTTATCTATTCCCTCAACGCCGTCTTCTAACTCTTCTCTAACGTCACCTGCTTCTCCGCGATGGTATACTTCTGCAAATAGCTCAGTGGGCTAAAAGAGAAGCTTAGAGAGCAAAGATAGAGGCAACAGCTTTAATAGGTCAATTCACAATAACATATCGATATCCCGGAAGTTTCTCCGCCTAGAGGGCTAGATCGTTAGAGGGCGTCCCTAAGGACGTGCGCTGTCAGCAGCACATAGTATGTACACGGCCTACAGTAGCATGCTTAGATATTGCTGTATGCTATCGGAGTATATTCGACTCTATGCCCCTAGTAGCTGGCAAATAAGGATAGCTGTGGTGAATGTCTACGGCTTCCCTAGAAGTCTTTGCTATGGCCAGATGCTTAGCCCCGCTGTTGCAACGCGACCTTAGCCGTCGTCGCCGTTTGTTCTGCTTGAACATGCCGATGCGCCCGCTCTACTAAGAAAAAAGCAGCGTCATCCTCGTACCGGTGCTCCTCCGGCCTATAGATAATTAGACCTTTCTTTCTAGTCTGTGTTACCAGGTTGCTGACGTCTATCCCCTCCGTGACGGATATTAGATAAGTCAGCATTAGACCCAACTAAGACATACTGTACACTAGCGATAGCACCTTCAGCACACTTGCCCTTGAAGTATTACTGGCTCCAGATATCGCCCGAGATTATGGATTCAGCTTCACCAGCAATATAGTAACGGGGATTCAGGTGATAGAGCTATGAAGAATATTGTTGAGAGCATTGGCACTCGCCGCAGGCGAGCGTCAGCGCGGCTGGCTTAGCTCGTTACTAGTAAGATAAACTTTGGCACGGATAGCGTCAGGGTCAAATCTCAAGGCCTTCGGGACAATTGAGGATGCTGGCAAGTGCTCCACTCTACAGCATCTCAGCTTCCGTCTCTTCGATCTACTACTAAACTCACTGGTCTGTCTCCTGCCATCCTACTGTTCGTACCATCCTGTTATACTACCCTCCTATCTGTGCTATTCGCGCTATCTGCTATCCATCCTACTACGATACTATCCATGATGTCCGTGCTATGCTGCCATTCCAACAAACTCGATGTCGCTCGACCTTGCACTGTCACCGAAAATCGCCTCGAGCTAATGCTGTGCGGTCCTAACACACTGTCCTTTCGCTAAGTCCAATTTCACCGAAGTGAAGACGTGGCCAACTATTAATTGACTATTTTTGCCCTCTTCAGCATCTCTTAGCTCATTACAAATTCCTTCACAATTCTACATCATCTGCTATCTTCGAGCTCCACCAACAGTCGCCCGCCATGAGACTTACAAACTACATCATTACATTACTGGCTATCTGCCTGCCTGCTACCTTAGCTTGTAAATCATACTGCAAGTGTTCAGGGCCGAATTATGAAGGAGAAAATAAGGAGTGCGTTCAAGACTGCGGAGCAGGACGGGGTTGTCACGGTCGAGATTGTATCGACACTTGCAAGACAAATGGTGATCACGGTACACCGGAAGGTTGTAGCATAGCCTATGCTAGTGACTTTGGCCTGAAAAAATGCTATTAACGATATGGATGTATGGAGATGCATTTCAAAGGTTCTTGCTAGCGGTAGTCTATCAATGGATTAGTCGGGCCTGATATCTTAGCATAACTAAGAGATCTTTTCCAAGCTAGAGATAGCTAAGATGCTGATATTTCTAGTGTTTTTGATTCACTTCCTTCTCAATATGTCATGTCTCCCAATACTAATATCTTAATCCATGCGTTGAATATAACTATACAATCAGTTTTTGGTAGTAAACGCACCGCCTAAATTGGCACGATTACGGGTATTTCACTATGGACCATCGATTGAAATTATGGCAGATCCTGCTAATGAAGCTTTAAGCCTACTATCCCTATAATTGAGATTCTACCTACTGTCCTTCCTTGAAGCTTGAAAACCCCTCTACTTCGAAAAATGCAAGAGGCATATCTGCTTCAAACCACGAGAACTTCGCACACGTATTAATACATTGTCACGGTGCGGGCTCATAGACGGAAGGGACAGGCATGAGTACAGGTTGTATTGCTACAGACTAGCTGGACAGACTCTCACTATAGGTAATGCAGAGTGGTGGACAGGACGTAGCTCAAGAAGCCAGTTGGTTCTTGTCTAGGAACGCAATCTGCTGTTTTGCTTTGTTCTGTAGGCCTTTGCGGGTCACCATCCTCTCTACTAGCGGTGGCAAGATCATGTACCACCAAAGTACCTGTTAAGCCTTCCATATTGCCTACAAATAAATTTCTGAATAGCCCGCAATGTTTCCATACTCACTACGGACGGCCCGACTCATAACTCGCGTTAACACTTATTTAGTCAGGGCTTTTCTCAGCGCCGTGGACTCAGGATAACCAAAGGGCAGGAACGGTAAGGCGATATCAGTCACTACTGTATACATCTGATTTTTCGTTATTCTATCCCATCTTACTTGTAATGCCTTGGATGCAAAAAAAGAAGATATTTGATTGAATAGCTCTAACAATATTATATATACCTTTTCTGTGACCTACTAAATGGACACTAAGTTAATAAGATACTAGATGCTAGACCACTTAGCGGGGAACGACCTGGTAGCGTAGGCGGCTCTTCACTTACAGATATCACCTAGACCGATACGACTTAGGCATCAGCTGCGTTATTACATGTATCGTTGTCGTGCAATGAAAAGTAAGCCAAAAGCCTTGTTGATGTTGGTTACATTGTGTTTCGCTGATTATGCCATATTCATACCATAACTACCTGCACTCATCATCACTCTAATGTCTACTACTTCTACTGTTGATACTCGTCCTACTTATCATCATTATCATCATCACCCTTCCTGCGCAGGCGCCTTCAAAACTTTCTTGAGATCAAGTACTGTCGCCGAAAACGGCGTGTGAAGTCCCTTGCCAAAATCATCGAATGTCTCACCACCATAGATCATCAGATGATCTGGTCTCTTTTTGAAGATCTGGATAGCACGCGAGTACACTGCTCCCGCAGGCGTAGCATGCTCTTCCCACTTGTCTAGAGCACCGCCATACGAGTTTGTATATACCTGCCTCCGGTCTGCGTCAGATACCACAATTGTACCTAGGGGTCCACCAACAGGGCTCCAGACCACATATGGGCTAGCATTGGGCACGGTGCTGTTGTTGATGACGATGGGTCGACCGACGCTCTTGCGGAAGTCCAGAGGAGAATCAGCCATAACATAGTATACGGGGTAGTTGGAGCCATAGGAGGAGGAGTTGCCAATTGGAAGTTCGTGTACGAGGATCCATTTCTTCAGAGGCGGGATGTATTCCACAACGGTCATACCGGGACGGGCGGTGTACTGTTCATAGGCTACATCGTTCACGACAGGACCCCAAGTCTTGAGATCGGTGGATGTTTGGTGAGCGAGCTTTTGGCCGTGCTTCGGGTCACGTTGGTCCGAGTAGTAGGCGACTAACTGGCCTTTGTACTGACTAGGGCGTTGTTAACTCGAAGATCGGAAAGATATAAGGGAATAGAACTTACAGCAGATACGGCTCCCAGATCGGTGTGGCTCCGTTTGTGGTATTGGGTCTTCCGCCTTCGGCAATATGGCTTACAAATTGCCATGTTCTTGCCCGGTCTTTGCTAGCATAAAGGTCGATCCTTGTGCTATTAGGCCCCCAGCTGTTACCGCTACCCAAGATTGTGCCAGCTGGGTAGCCTCCCATAGGCTCGGTTAATTCTGTCAAGGCAGGCTGCGCACTCATACCAAAGCCATTGACAGTATCGCGCAAGTCAGAGACATGCTTCCATGTAGCACCGCCATCCTTGGATTCAAAGATAGGGAAAAAGTTGGGCGAGTTTCCAGATAGCGATGCAGTTGCGATAATAGTTCCATCCCGCAACTCAGTGTAGCGAGGATAAGTGATACTCTCGCTGCCAGTTGTCTGATAGATTGTATTGTTTACGAAAAAGCCCCATGGCTTCGGGGTGCTAGTCTCGAAAACTGAAGAAGGGAAGGCAGTAACGCTACTGACAAAGATGACAGCTGTTGCCAGGGTGGAAGTATGGAGCCTCATAACTGCAATATCCTCTGCTGGAAAAGCCCGGGTAGTAGTTGACTGATGGGAACTGATCTCAACCTATGGACAGCAACCTGCGTTTATATATCCTTGCAATATCCTCGCCTCCGAACCATCTGCTATAACGTCGATCCCTACGTACAAGGACACACGGTATAACGGGACACTTTCTATCCCAGCCCCTCAGAATATTAGCTATTACTCTGTAGTACTGGATCCTTTAGCTGGCTAAATTCTAGCTAGGTTGCTTCTGCAATTACTAAAGCTGATCAGTTAATATAATGTACCCCACAGGCGGGCGATCTACATGGGCGATCGGGCCACTTTTGCCAAGCCCTCACCAAAACCACCACACCATAGCCTAAAACCACCACATTATAGCCTAAAACCCCCCATCTTCGACTATCGATCGAGTGGTAAATGGTTCTCCGCCTCGGGATCTCAAGAATCCAATTATCTCCACCAATACTAAATCAACCAGGAAGCTTAGTGTTGGTGGAGATGATTGCGTTCTTGAGATCCCGAGATGGAGGCCCATCTACCACTCTATTGATAGCTCTTACTTCCTACCCTGGCCTATATTATCCTCTTGCTCGTGGATCTGCATACATCAATTCTGCCATATAGCACAGTAAGTACTATTGATAGCAAACACGCATCGGTTCTGAGCAAACTCATCGAGAATTTCGACCGTTGGAACAAACTCCCGTCCCGTAGCGCAGAGGAAACGATGTCGATTCCGACATGCGCTTCGACAACTGTACGATCATGTGCTTGGAACTCCAAAAGAACCCAGCTTCCACGGGTGATGCACGAATGGCTCACCAAGCTGAACAAGCTATCGAAAGCTCTTATCAACCTTCTGCCAGAATCACCAATGCCGAATCCCAACTCGCAATGCACTTTGCAGCTTAACACACTAAACCTCTTGCCATCCAAAAGTAAGGGCACCATGGAGTTTGCTTTTGCATTTGCCTGACAGCTAACGGTAAGCAAATATGGAGCACCGACCCAATAACAGACCTTGCGTCGGCCCACCTTTGCTCCCGATTGAGGCGCCAATCTATGAAGATAGGACTGCGGAAGATGAGCCTGTCGAAATGAAGACTTGGGAATGGTATGAAGAAAATGAAGATTGCAGAATTGGCAGCATAGTCAGCGAGGTGCTGATGGAAGAAGGAAGTGATGCGCCAGAGCAGACATACTGTTACTGCATTGCCAAATCTGGCCTACCGGACTGGATATAGTGCCTTGACATACATCCTGTACTCAGCTTAGCTTCCCAGCTACATCAATTGCTCCGCGCGACAATGACACACAAAAGTAGTGTTTTGCGCGCTTCAGTGGTACTCGCTACACCGTCATGTCCCGCAACGGCAGCCAGCGAACAAGATGCCCTTTTGCGCTGCTAGGTCAGATTTCATAGCGTCATCGAACGAGCAGTAAGTCCGCCCATCTTGAGCTTGGATCCTTCGTAGAGTAATAGGTGATAAAAACACTATTCATTGTAGGAGTACTGGAGATGATGACACTACTAGAGAGATGCATATGTAGAGTAAGATATTGTTGATAGTCAATGAACACTAGGTAGGTAAAAGAATTGGCTAAAGCTGCGCCCCTCTTTGGTGCCGTTCCCAGGTTGTTCTGACTGCTATACCACCTCCGTCACTACTGTCATTCGTTGGTTCGTGGCACTCAATGAAGCTGATATCATGATCCGCCAGGTGTTGGTCGTGATATGCGACGTAGACGCCACTTTGCCCTGATTTCGGGTTAGAGCTCGCGTAGGCCAGGTAGAATACATTGTCGATTCCGACGCCCCGCGATACGACTCCAGTCAACTTGATCTGGTAGACCGGACCGCCCATGATAGTGTGTAGATCGGTGATGCGTTTGGTGTAGATGGAAAATGTCTTCGTTGGGCTACGATTGCAGCGTGACATCGTGAGTTGGACCCAGGCCTGCGCGGATGCGGCAGTAGCCATGGCTACGATACTGAGCAAGCACAGCTTCGTCCCGAAGTATGTGTGAATTCGTTCGATATGTATGCGTGGAGGGCGTAGTGGTTTGCGTGAGAATGATGAGAAATAGTTGTGATTCTTGCTTGTTTGCTATGTATCCATGTCGACACATGGGGATATTTATACTCACATCTGTGCCGTTTCTTGCTGATACTTCACGTCTTCAAACGTCCATGTGTCACATGAAATTGAAAATCTGCGATAGAAATTTATCTTGCGTCTCCAGTGCTGATGTGAGCTATAGTACTGAATATAATCGCGAAGCTAGAGGTATAAGGGGCTACGATTCGTGGAACAAACGCTCAGGAAACTTAGTTGATGAGTAAGAAATATATTCAATTTCTGGTTCTTTAAACAGGATTTGAGTTATTAGCTCTTATTAAGGTGTGTAAAAATTAAGCGCAAAGCGGTAATTCAGGTGTCGAATGAAATAGGGTGCTGTGTTGGGCATGCAAGATTCCATAGCTGATGCAACGCGATTCCTAGGTCCTAAATATTCGGAAAGCAGATGTCGAAAGCCAGACATCAAAAACGTCATCAACTTCAGCTTCCTCGAACGAATCCGCGCATTGCGCGCACGAACATGGCAATAGTAAGACCGAGACTAAGTAGGCGGTGTGCACGGTCTACCCAGTGCTCGCCATTGAACTCGGCATCACAGAGCTACTGTCCCTCTTCAACATCCGTGTGCTCGTTCATCTATTTTGCAAACAGAAATCAATCGTGATTCTCAACAATCATGACAAGTTACTATTGTCAGATATGTAGCATGGACATGGCTATTGCGCGCATCCGGACCCCCGACGAGCCGCCAACTGCCGCCTGGGACTATACGGGGTGCAACTACGTGGGGTTTGATGTTGTCCGTGATTTTTACGGTGAAATTGTCGAAGATCATAGTTGCCAGCAGTGCACAACTGCCGACCGTACTCCCGCAGTGTTTCAGCACGACCCCAGTGACGGTTATAGAGACCGGCCTGAAGATCAGGACGACGCTGAATGGTTGCCAGATGATAACTCATGTGCAGACAGCGAGCCTTTGGAGTACGACACCGACGCTGATGTCGGTCCTGATGATTTGTCTAGAAGCAACGATTGCGATACTGCTGACAAGAATCGTGCGACCTATCGCAGTGCGGTACGAGAATTGTATCAACCTCCATTGAAAAGATATCCTCCGCATGGCACATGGGACGTGGACGGAAGGTATCTATATACTCGAGACCGACGTTTTCAATACCTGAAAGACAGGCTGCAGGATCAAGAACATGGCCCACCTCGATTCCCGCTGGAGCATATCGCTAGCCCTACTTGTCAAAGTGTGCAGGGTATCAACGGTAATAAGCTGAGCGTAGCGGAGATGAAGGGCTGCCGGAACCACAGGTTCCTCCTACCAAGGCCATCTCATTGGGTGCCACCTGATTGGAAGCCTGAAGCTGTCGATGGTATCTTCGAAAAAGACAGCTTATTTGTGCTTTCGGGAGAAGCAAATGGTTCCTACGCCTCGATGGCGGGCCAGTTTGTCTATCCGCCACGCTACGGACTTGATAGAGTCTCGGTATCCGCTGACACCGCCAACCAGGACTGTTGGGTAAGTGTCATTCAACCCACATTGCTACATGCACACGGCTTATAGGCTCAAGGATTGCGGTTCATGGCAACCACTCCCAGTTCATTCTTATTGTCTTGATATATACGCCAAAGCATCGTATCGCAGGCTAGGTCATGTTGATTTGCATGATATTTGGCTCTGGCGGGAGCTGTGCGGCAATCCGGCGAGGTTTGAGTTCGCAGATGAGTTGAGTTCGCCTTATCCTGGCATTGGGAGAGCAAATGAGATTGATCCCTTTCTCCACCATGTTGATAACGAATGGATGGTTGCAAACCCTGTGGAGATACCGGGACTAGCAGAGGCGCTGAAGGACTGCCTCATCAGTGGTACCTTCGGAGCAGTAGTGCAACAAATACAGTCGCCCCTACTCGGATTGCCGGCCGAACTTCTCGATAACATTTTTGCTTTCTTGAATGACCTCGGTGTTGATGCAATAGCAGCCACCTGCCGCACATTTCGCCGTCATGCACAACCTCTGTACCGACGCCGTGTTACTAGGGACATGAGTTGGCTCTGGGAAGTCCTCGAAGGCCGACCGTATCCAGCGTCGCCAGATTGGCCGGTAACCTGGGACCCATGTAACCCGCCCGGTCTTGTTCCACCTGAGTTACCCCTCGAGTTAAAAGCACGGAAGGACGAGGCTGAGATTTGGGCGCAAATTATAGCTGATGATCCAAACATGATTGATGTTGGTAGCGCCGCGCAGTTAGTCAACTTCATCCGCAGAGAGGCAATACTAGGTTCCTACCGCGCAAAATTGGATTGTTCGCTTCATGAATGGCAAAACTTCCGCACAGAAGCTGAGGGCTGGATATGTTCACTGCCTCCAAATGGCCACCAGCACACAGAAGATATAGATTGGGTCCATCTATGGCACTCCTTCACTTCAGAAAAGACTCTTTTACCGGGCATACGCAATCGTGTGCGCATCTGGAGGGAATGCGAACGGATAGCAAGCTTCATCTGCCGATTGAGAGATTCAAAAAAATGGGGCAAAAGCAAGGAGCTTGACCGTGAAATAATGGTTGATGTAAACAATCCCTGGTGGGAGGAAGCCTTTGGAGCAATGCAAGACATGCTTCATGTTGGGTTCTTAAGGAAACGTGAGTGGGAGTTCAACTCAGCCCAAGAGGATTTGTAATTGGATACTTAAAAACTATTCATTTTATGGCCATCCTGAACATCTGGAGTGTGTGGGACACTCTAAAACTCTCTGAAGTACTTTGATGTCTCCAAGCCAACTCGGAGTGGTAGTTCCCCTCGTCCTTCCAGCCTCCCCATCGCTCAGCGCAGCCGGTGTTAGGATCGCACGGGATCTTGAATGTGGTCAGCGACTTCCACATTGAGTGCTCTTTGCATTGCCCGCGCTCTACAGGCGGGTGACCGCCGCCTTTCGTGAAACACTCATCACTTGCAGCCGCGGGAGATCCCCTTACGCATGACGCTCAGTCTCCTGGCGCGGAGGTCGCAGCAACCGTATGGAACAGGTCAGATGGCACTGCCTTTCTTGGTATTACCTTGGTCGATGGCTACAATCTACCTCCCACGGATTCGATCGAGATCTAAGCGTGGATTGGAAGGATCCAGATCACCCTTAATTATAACGATATTCGGTCTTTACATGGAGGTGCGGTGGGAACTGTTAATGCAAACTTGATTAGTTCCGTGAGAGTAAGAAGCTCTAGAGTCGTTATTACGATCAAATGGAGAGTTGTATAGGGCATGAAATGGCTACACTAGTGGATTTAGACCCGCACTGACTCATTAGCTACCCTGCCAGCTCTGCCTGCCCCCAACCCACAACAATGTCTGCATGTACCTAAGAGCCAGTTGTTTATGACTAGGTATTACTTAATCAATATCCAATCTCTATAATTTTGGCAATTCTCCTATGGACTCGGATGTCTCAAGCTTGGTGGCAGAGTTTTGTGGTGAGAAAACTTGGTCTACCTTCTCTCTCTGCTATCTACGCTCGCTGTTTATATCCGGTGTATGCTGTCTTAAGGTGACTGGTTAAATATTCAACTACAAACCCTCACTTCGTCAATTGTCTTTACAGGATACTCATATCTAATTCCTTACCGGAACTACCACGTCAAGTGTCACAGATATGACAATATTCATACATCTATGAACCTAAAAAGCTTTGAAGAAGAACAGTAGAGGAAAGTTTTATACAGTAGAACGTACTGGCCTTGGTAGAAGTACTCAATATACGAGACATAGTATGAACATCTATAATTACGTAGTGAGTAGGACAACTAGCAATGGTACATTAAGTGAGATGAAAAGAGTAAGTTTAGGCGTCGTGTCAGCGATATTGATCAGTTTGGCTAAATATAACTACGCGAATCTGTCCAAAGCCCGACCGAACAGAAAGCGAGTAATATCAAGTACTTCTGCCAAGGCCAATAGATGATTTCTAACAGAATACTAGTTAACATGAGTATCGAAGGCAAGAAACTATGGTTCGAGAGCAGCTACTCGGATAAAGTACTTGAGTGGAGGGACAGAAACCAGGGGTGTTAGTTCTTAGCCAGGTGATCTAAGCCAGAATCCTTGGATATCAATTTATCCTATAGATGGTGAGTTGATAGTGAAGAGTGTGGTATGAAGAGTCGACTTACCAGTATTGACAAAGGGATGAGCTTTGTGAGCCAGTAGATGGTCGAGGCCATCTGTCCTCTCCACAGCTTTCCCTGAGCACCACCGAGGACATCATCGACGACCTTTTTGGCAAATGTTTCAGTGGGCATGCGAGTATGACCGTCTTCCCCTTTAGCAAGAGCCACGATCTCTTTCTGAGCAGGTTTGAAGGGAGACGTATCTTGGAGCTTTGGGATGGCGCCGTTGGTCATGATGTTGGAGGCGACGGCTCCCGTGACTAGGGATATGACACGGACGCCTAGAGGGGCCATTTCTAGGCGCATAGTCTCGCTCAGTACCTCAGCGGCAGCCTTGGAGGCGCCATAGAAGCCCATCCAGGGAGTGTGCACGTGAGCAGCGATGGAGCAGACGTTGACAATTGTTCCACTGGCGGTTGTGATGAGTGGGACGAAAGCCTGGCAGACAGCAGCAACGCTAAAGACGTTGACCTCGAACATAGAGCGGGCAGCATCAAGGTTGGCTTCAATGGCAGGAGTGATATACTGGGCGCCCGAGTTGTTGATGAGGATGTCCAAGGAGCTACCAGTGGTCTTGCCAACTTGGGCAGCGGCAGTGGCAATACTGGCTTGCGAGGTCACATCGAGTTGCAACAGGGTAACACGATCAAGGTTGGCCAGGTGAGCCATCCTGTCGAGGCTGCGGGCGGTAGCGAAGACATGCAAGCCACGGCGGTGGAATTCGAGGGCAAGTGCTGAGCCAATGCCGCCAAGACTGCAGCCGGTGATGAGGACCGTCTTGGGCGAGGGTGTCATGACGGCAGACGGGTGAGGCGGAGGGTTAGGGCGATTGAGAGAGGCATGCAGATGGAAGGGCAGGTAGATATGGAAACGTCAAGTATGGTGGTGAATAGTCGAGATACTACTCTGCTGCAAGGCGTCGACCGTGCCACTCGGGACCGGGGCCTTGAGTTCACCCGCTCTCTCTAGCCTTTGGTCGGGACTAGTACATAAGTAGATATAGTACGGTGTAGTACATACGATTACATTGAGGATACATGGCGAATGACTCGGCCTGTTCACACCCTTTTCCCCGCTTCCTCAGTCGGCGTGCACTTGTTTGAGCACGGTTCGGCGGAACTCAAGCCCCGGAAGGCGGTTCGTTGCCGGCGTGCGCATGCATCTGCGTCGCTCCACAGCTGTGTGGCTTGCTCCCTTATCATCCACAGGACTGGTGGCCATGGCCGTCGTCACCAGCATCATGAGGCCGCCCATGGGCCTGAGTATAAGGCTTTCAACCTGGCGTCGGCCATGCACAACCTCCGCAGCACCAACTCAGATCCACCCACAACGGCCGCGCCCTTGATAGGCTTGACGAGGCGTTCGAGCTGCTGGACCTGGAGGAGCAACAGCGCGCGCATATCACAACGCCCCACTTGCCTGGCGCGTTGAGGAAACAAATGCGTATGGCGCTTCTATTGGTGCCTCCTCTTTTCTTCGCCAGTCCAAGCCGAGGACGCGCCAGAGTTCCGGCCGCAACGTTCGTGTGTTGTATTCTGACATTGCAGCGTTCGGCTTCAACGACTAGAGCGGAATGCTGGAAAGACGATGCGGAATGCCATGCTTTTTGTTTTCTCCATTGAGTGTTATCGCTTCGCCATTTAAGGCTTGTGCTCGGCGACAGTGTTGTGTGAGGTTTGCGACAATCAAGTACATGTCTGATGCGTCGGTGATGGAGTGCGATGCGCATATTGAAGGCAGATACCAGCCAGGAATAAAGTTGACTTGAATTGTCATGATGCGAGATTTGGTCCAGATGCCAGCCAACGGTGCGAGGATTTTGCCATCGAGCTTGCTGGTTGGCATGCTGGCCGCCATCAATTCCTCGTACGTGTAACTCCATTCCGTTTATGAGAAGCCACGACAAAGCCCTCGAAGACGAAATCCTCGAACCCGTCTTCACATCAATGTGATAGCAGGCCGACCGCGTCCAACTACCAATCAAGGCTTAGGTGCATACCTGGACCGCGAGAAAGACGTTGGAAAAGCGTATGTTTATTCTTCAGCCCCATCTCGTGACCATCCTGCTCCTCATTTACTAAATCCAACACGGTTCGTTCTCCGCCCTCATGCGCTTCAGCGTGTGCCTACACCTCTCCTCCTCCTCACTCTCTCAAATGCGGCCCTTTGAGCAAAACTGCCCTAACTAAATCTCCGCCATAAACGACACCTACAGCTGAAAGAAGGAGCTCAAAGCATTCAAACTCCTTCACGAGGAGGGTGCAGTGTTGTGCTCTGCCGTCAAAGTCTTTGCTGATAAGGCTGGGCTGGACATTGCGTCGTTGAAGCGCGTCTTATGGTCTATGATGAAGGAGTGGGAAATGGTGCACGATTACGTGTATGCGCAGCTGGTAGAGTCTGGGGAGTGCAATGCGGCGATGAGGCAGTATATTAAGAGGCCGGAGTAGCAGATGAGTGGGAATCAGATTTGGAGTATGACGACGTTTAGGTATCATAGCGCTGGGCCAAGTTGAACATGGCAGAGAATAGAGTTTTTTTAGGTTGAGAATATTTAGCAAGTTTGTAGCAATGGCTGAGTTATGCGACAGATACACGGGATGTTGCGATGTAACTACTCACTTTGCGCAGGTCGGCCCCTCTAATTTTCGCAATAGTAACTATTCCCTTAATAGTGAGCCGTGTGCTAAGCGAATTAAGCGGCTTCATATTCTTCTCGTTTACGTAGTGTAATTATAGAATACAAGTGTGATGCCAGGCAAAAGAATGACCATCTCATTGAGACGGGACGGGAGGAGTAGACGCAGCTTGTATGCTTGTGCTCATGAAGAGCGTTCAACCATATACCTTTCAAGAAAGCCACCAGCATACATCATCGCTAGTCGCTAGTCGACCTGCTGCTATGGGCGTAGCGTCAGATTTGTTATGGCAGCACCATCTTCTACACTAAGGGCAGTACATGGACATACACCCCCATATGCGCATCAATTCGCGCTTATCAGCATGTTATCCGAGATCATGAGGGCATAGGAAGAATTTGCTACCGCATCTAATCCACCACTACTGTTTTTCATAATTGCTGCGTGCTTCGTACACCATTCCGTTTAAACACGAGCCGACAGACAATTAGGCCACCACTCACATTGCCAAGCTTGTCAATGACGCAACTAGCCAATGGCTAGTCCAGCACTACGACGCTACCACTATGACGCTGCAAGCAGAGGTATTGGAAGGCCCTCTTCCTCGGTAAACCCCACATGCTTTTGGTATAAGGAGTATGATTCTGTGCCAGGCACGCCCATAAGACACTCTCCGTCCATCATGTTACGCCACCTCCTCTTCCTCAGCTTGGTCCGGCTTGTCTCTGCCACGTGTGGGCCTGATTCTTTCGACTATGTCATTGTTGGCGGAGGTGCAGCAGGACTTGTTGTCGCAAACCGCTTGTCGGCAAATCCAAACACCACTGTTGCCGTGATTGAAGCCGGCGATTCCGTATACAACAATCCCAATGTGACATATGTTCCAAAGTCTATTGCCGAGTACGGACTTTTTATTGGAACTTCTACTGACTGGGGCTACATGACTGTACCTCAAAAACATGCTGCCAACAACACACTTCCATACTGGGCGGGAAAAGCGTTGGGTGGAAGCACGGCCATTAACGGCATGACGTATCTTCGTGCAGAGAAGGACCAGATCGACGCTTGGCAAGACTTGGGAAATCAAGAGTGGAACTGGGATATTATGTGGGAGTATTTTCTCACGCAAGAGCACTTTCAGCCGTCGACTGATCAGCTTAAGCACAAAGGAGCAGTGTACGAAGCTGGCGCGCACGGAAATGACGGTGACCTTGCTGTGGGATTTACCCCATATCTTGTTGGCCAAGGTTTTGCTCAGTTGATGAAAGAGACTTCCGAGGCAATTGGGTTTCCTTACAATCAAGATGCGAATAATGGCATCATGCGTGGCTTCAACACCTGGCCCATGACGTTGAGCGAGGCTGGACCAACACGCGAAGATGGAGCAAGGGCCTTCTACTACCCTGTCGCATCGCGACCAAACTTACGCGTCTTTCTCAACTCTACGGCAAAGAAAATTATCTGGGAACATGACAAGACTGCGGATGGAATGCTTGCTTCTGGTGTCGAGTTCATCACTGCAGGCAATGTTACCAAAGACATTCGTGCTGAGAAGGATGTTGTTGTAGCAGCTGGTGCCATCAGATCACCGGCATTCCTTGAACACTCTGGTGTGGGCAATCCTGCTATTCTCGAGCCCCTCGGCATTGAAACAGTTGTCCCGCTATGTTCCGTTGGCTCAAATCTGCCGGACCAGCCGCAGAACGGTATCATTTACTCTTCATCCACCAACTGGACTGGATATCCTACCTTTGTGACGTACTTAACGGCGTCTGATCTCTTTGGAGACGAATTAGATTCGATTACCCGAGAGGTCAGAGCCAACCTGAGCGCGTATGCAGCCGTCATTGTTGCCGACTACGCATCAAATACTATTTCAGTCGAGACGCAGGAGCTACTCCTAAAGCATCAAGTCGATTTGATATTTGATCCCAATAGCAAGGTCCCACTAGCTGAGCTGTTGTGGGCTCCAATAGGCAACAACATAGCTGCCCAGCTCTGGAATCTGTTGCCCCTCTCTCGAGGCTCCATTCACATCAATGCTACCGACCCAACGCTACCCCCTCAAATCGATCCTGCATTTTTTCAGCTACCGATTGATGCATACGTCCAAGCAGCAGCCGCGGTTCGGATTCGTGAATATTTCGCGACTCCGCCGCTCGCCGATCATGTCATCAGCGAAGTCTCGCCCGGTTTCGAAACTGTACCGCAAGGCGCAGGATGGAGAGACCAAAGTTGGGACGCCTGGATCAAGAAGACTCTCAACGGCAACTCACATCCTGCGAGTACTTGCGCAATGATGAGCCGGGACTTGGGTGGAGTCGTTGATTCCAAGGGCAAGGTGTATGGTACGAGAAACGTAAGAGTGGTGGATGCCAGCGCCTTTCCTACGCAGATATCTGGCCATCTGAGCGCAAGCGTATACGCAGTTGCGGGAAAGATTGCCGATGCGATGATCAAGGAGGTCTTGGCAGGCTAGGTCGTAATATTCCTTACTGTTGGTCTAGTGTATATCCAAAGAATACACCATGAAGCGCTTGTTAGAATAGCATGCAAAAAGAAACTAGGGATATGATAAGGCTGTAGTCAGATTGTTCTCGCAAAATACTGAGATTGTTCCTATTTTCGGTATCTGATGTCGCTCTAAATTCACTGTGTCGTTTACTTTTAATACACATGCAGATTCGTTCACTTCCGCTAGTCCCGAATACCACACTTATGTCATTTCTTCAATTACGCACGTAAATCATGGAGATAGTACCAAGCTGGCCGAATGCAAGAGTGTAAGCAAGCGTACATGCTAGACACCCATTTTCCACCTTCTCACGCAACATTTAGTTTACTTGTCCATGTCACTGGTCAATCGACTGCTTCGGGCAGAGTTTCGCGCAATGCTAGCCCGATTCTGCATTTTACTTAGTGGTAATCACCGCCACTCAACAGTTAAACGTGAATATTTCCATTTTGACAACCTGCAACCCCAAAAGGAGAGGTAGATACGATGCTAAGCATGGACTGGTACGGCGTACACATCGTGAGTTTGGGAGATGCATTGAATTGCGCAGTGTCGAATGTAGACCCAAACTAAGTCAATGCCGATTATACCTGCTGTGTTTTTCGGACCATTATAATAACATGTTGGAAAAATTGTGTTTATTGGCAGCTTTATGAGATTCTCTACTAGGGTGCGATGCTGAAACCATGAAATGAATGGGAAAACATCTGGAATAACAAGCATTTTGTCATCAAGACTCTCAAGATCAACATGAGAACTTCCGCAATTTTCGATTCTATCGTTGTAGTCCACCTACTCGCCATGACAAACACAGGGATAAGAATCCTGGATCCGAACTACCTTGTGAGGTTCCTAGAAAACTTGCTTGATGGTTTGGTCGGGCGACCGGCCTATGGCTCTTTTGGCTACGTTCTATCCAAAAATCTGGATTATCTTTTTCTGCATCGCGATGAATAAATAATAATGCAAGGGGATATTGCAGATAATTCGTGTAACCATTCTGTCGAATTTGATAACTGGCCAGCGTACTGCGAGAAGGCATATTATGAATGAAGGGAGAAGGGTCTCAGAGTGGTAGAGTAGGATAGGAGATGGGTATCGGGGTCACGCCAAGAAACAATGTATGGGAAGGGCAAATTAGCGGTGAAGGGAGAGTGACCTGAAAGCCAAACCCCCTTTTCTATTATTACTAAATAACTCAATTACAAACTGTATATTCTCGCATTCAATTTCCATCTCCGTCCAAGTCTCATCTAGTTTGTAACCCTCTCATCCGTTGTAGATATGCTTTCTGTGATCATCGTAAGGCTGAATCGTTCCTTTAGCCTTGCTCTGGAACGTGCCTATCTGTGAAGGCATTCGGTCGAGCTTTCGATAGACAAGCCAGCATCTCCATTGGTTTACTAAATGATTTAATAATTAGTTTCGCGTCATGGAGAGATATAAAATTGATAACTTACCCTGAGTGGGCAACCAGAGATGGAATTACCCAAGTCTCCAATGGCTTTAAGTCCGCAGGCGGCGAGTGCAATAAGAATCAAGCCACCGGTAGTGGCTGAAGATTTCAGTGCAACGTGTGCCGCTGCACCGCATACGCCCACACTACCGATAGCTGCACCCGCCGCGCCACTAACGCATGTGTAGCAATTTCCAGGATGGGGAGCGGCAGCACAAGTCAAAAGAGCTGATCTGCTCTTTTGATCAATCTGCCTATCTTTTTCCTGGTCCGCCCTATCGATTGCTGCACTCAAGCCAGGATCCTGCCTTCGGAGTGAAAGCTCAGTCGTACCGACCTGAACTTCGGCGGATACCTCGAGTCCCTTCCTCAAAGTTTCTTCGTCGAGGTTGCCAGTGCACTGAACACCAGGGAAATGGGTGGACAATTCATTCTGGATAACCGCGCAACCCTCAAGCTCACCGGTGGAGGTGTTCTTCTGGGCGGCAGCATCACCTAGAACACAGGTGATACCGGGAACGTATTGAGCCACTTTGGGCCAGGTGTTTTCCCACAGAGCAACAGTATCGTCCAAGGATAACTCCAAATTAAGATTCGCACCGACAGCGTTGACATCGACATCGAGAGACGTGGCTTGAGCACTGAGAGCAGCGCCCAGGACAATAGCGAGGAATTGGATACGAGCCATGGTAGTGGTGATGAGAGGAGGTTTAGGTAAAGATTGAAGGACTGAACTGTAGAGAAAGACTGAAGGGAGTTGGTAGTAATTGATGAGACGGTGTAGACTCCAATATTTATATGAATTCGGTCTTATCTCAGGTAAATCTTTTGCCAAGTCGGTGAAATGAAGACATGAGTCTCTCGGAAATTCAGTTGTTCAATCAGATGAGGTGGCATGGGGGAAACTCCAGGCATGGAAGCCTAGGGCTGATGTTCATGCTATGGATACGAAAAAAACCCGAGTCTATCGTCTTCCAAGTACATGTAGCTGAATCATGTGAAGGGCTGTGAGAAGGGAAATAACGTGCCATGTAAGCACACTGTACCCAATTCAGGGACAAAGAACAGAGGATGGGTTGTCACTCGCACCTATTAGCGGACCGACTGGATAAACTAGATCGAAGGAAGAATGAATGCACCAACTACATCCGGTAGTACTTGGCATGTGCCCCACTTATTACTAGAGCGCCCTAGACACAACCCACAGGCTTACATATCTAAATCATGCCGAAGGTCGTATAAGGCGCGGTGAAATTAACAACTAGTAGCAAGATCTAGGACCGAGCGACGTGTAGTAGTCGAACACTGGTGATAGTAAAAATTGCCTCACTACTATTAAGCAAATTTTGGGGAGGTAGAAAGGGTATAAAGAGGTGTCTCTTTCCTGCTTGAAAACCTCATCACAACACACTTCAACATCTACATCCCAATCACCTCTTCATTCAATCTCTAAGTTTTAAACTTAATCACCACTATCTTCAAGATGCAATTCTCTACTGCCATCATTGCCCTTGCTATGGGACAACTTTTCCAGTAAGACCTGATCTTCAAGAGAACTTACAGATTTTCTGATCACCTTTCTATAGACTTGGAGGCGTAGCTGCTCTGCCCACCGAGATTGGAGTCGATGTCTCTGTTCCAAAGGTCGCTGCCGATGTGGCTGCCAAGGTCCATACCATCGAAAAGCGTCGTGATCACACCGCCTGTGCCTGCCAGACCAGTTCCGGAGGTGAAATTGACGCCGCAGCTACGGCCAGGGTTGCGGGCTTCAACACGAACAGATGGGTTCTCGGTATGTTGGCTCACGCTTGTGAATATTTATCAGGTTGAGACTTACCCTAAATAGATATCTTTGAGACTCAGCGCTTCCAGGGTGGTGCCAAGTTCACTGGCTACTACGTAAGTAATTCTATTTATGCTTTTAACTTGAGGCTTACTTTGCATATAGGTTCGTGGCAAGAACGGCGCGGGGGTGTCTGGAGATGGCTTCTACAACGAATGCCGTCAAAACGGTGCTGCTGACTCTACTTGCTTCTAATCAAATCATGTCATGGCAACGATCAATCTGATTAGATAGACAAGAGCGGAGCAGTGAACCAATTATGCTTGCGTGTTGATCGAACTGGCCTTAGTAGTAGTGTTTAGTCTTCTCCTCACGTTATCTCCTAAAGACAGCGAATTTAATCAATCCACTTACCCCCAATTATGAGCGCATCCATTTCTCTGCTTCAACTGGTCATTGATAGGGAGTCTAGTCATCAGGATCAATTTTGATTATATAAGAATTGAACGCAGGGTATAGTTTTACAGGAAGGTGACGCGCATAAGCAGGTAACGCCGTTCATCCTAACATTGCGCTAGTAACGCTTTAGTGCTTACACGCCTAGGAATTTCACCGCCACAGACAGGCTAGCATTTCGCCGGATGCAGCAGTAGACTAAACGACTTATTCTTACCAATGGTTAGTGAGGAGATTCTAGAGAAGTTTATGCCATGGAAGCATAAATAGGTTGTTAGCCCTCTATCGAACGCCAAGCATAGGCAAGATTACCATTGATCAACAGACTAATTACCACCAACAGTAAATCTAAAACGTGTATGTACACCCTTGACCCATGGTCCCATATAACTGTTCCTCCGATTAGGAATTTGTACCCACAGCGGCTTTTTCCTTCAGCCTAGTTTTTTCCCCTGAATATCCCCAACACCGTGCCCGTTGTCAACACCAACGGCGTGCAGATCTACAACTCCTAGTACCAGACTTGGTATACAGGCAAAAATAACAATGGACTTTGCAAATTTACGATCTGGACTGACTCGGCCCATCAGTCATCCAGTGGATGTACGTGATGAATTGGTAAATGCATTGCAGCACTGACATTGGTGATATTTAGCAAACAGGGTTGATAAAACGACTTCTTCAGCATGGACACTCAAGTATCATCCCCTTTACAACTGCGCAGTTCCTAGATGGTAAGTATCTGGAGAAGTCCAGGATCTAGAACATGGTTGCGTGCTCCTCCCGATGACGTGCTACACGAGGTGTACAGTCGCCGCATTCGCAATTGCTAACGGCCTGTTCGGTTGCGTGGTTGCGTTTTGCGTTTGTTACTAGATTTAGGCTAGGTTTTTAAAGACGATACCATGTTCAGTAAAGCGCAACCTAAATCTAGTAATAAAAACGCAAAACGCAACCGCGTAACCGAACAGGCGCTTAATATACGTGCATATAAGCTTCGTATTTGCGATCAGCATATCCCTCCCTGCCCCTTTGTTCCCCTTTCGCTTGCTTTTCCTCCCACAGCACTCAGACCCATCATCCCGGATACTAGACTACGGGCCGTGCTCGGCAGGACTCTAGCTCACTAAACCAAACATAGTTAGATGCACATGCCATGTTTAGTACTGTTCTCCGTCGATCTCTCTCACTCTCACGGACGCAATGTCAGTATGGGGCCGGATGCTTGTCGATCGCGAATATCTGATCATGTAGGTAGGTCACCCGACCATGCGCGATTAGCGGTGCGCCGTGGAAAAGCCGCGATACCGGATGCGATACTATACGCCAAGCTAAACAGGCGAACTCTCACCGTGATAACCCAATCTGAATCTATCTTCGACAAGCGTGCGCTGACAAGTGGCTGGTGAGTCGCAACAGCAGGGGTTTTGCGCTATATAAATTCTTATTAAGTAAAACGGATACCCACCTAGGTAAGGTTTATGGCGCAACTACTTTTTTCCATGGTCGGATAACCAGACTCATGATCTCTGATCAGAGCAAAAGGGAGGCTCTATTCACGTATAGTGACGCCGAGGAAATCTTCGTGTAAATCTGGTTCTCCCAACACGTGAGTCTGGGCCGGATGTGCAGCGACAACGGGTAGATCATGCAACTCATGTCTATTAAAAAAGGATACACACTGTTTCTTCTCTATATTGTTCCAATGAGAACAAAAAACAAGATTTTCTTGGCACAAGCTTAAATAGTGGAGGGATATGGCAATGTTCGAATCCACATTGCTGAGACGCAATGTTGGTTCACAACGTGGTTCAGGTCAGCATCCTACAAGGTAGTTGATCCGAGCATTGGTGTTAACGGCTAAGTCGCCATCATTGAACGAACAATGACGGACGAATCGCTAGGGTTTTTGTAAGGGGTAAGGTCACGTGTCAGCCAAGGGGGCTTGTGTGTCGTACGCACAGCCCAGGGTGTAAGCACCTTAATGTGCAACGACCATAGTAACGCTTCCAGCGGGGTATTTATTTCCGCTCGCACTCTGTATACGACCGAAGACAGCTTCGTTTTGCGTTAATTTATTTCTCTTCACTCACTAGGCAAGCAACAATTCAGTTCTTGAATAACGGGTGATTTTCGGGATTTACTGCCCCTACTCGAGATCTCCTTGGCTTCACGTTCTAATTCAAGTACAACGATTCAAAACAGCAAATCTGATCCTCCGGGCGAAGGAAAAATGCAAGATTGACAGTCTATCACCCGCGATGTGATTGTTCACTGGTTGTTCCATGAGAGCACTTACTTCGATATCAGGTCACACTATGCATATAATAGAAATACCAGATAGCCGAACAGGCGGCCTTCGTACGCCGGAAATCGTGACTCATAACACGCTATTATAGGGTAGTTGTTTTAAGGCCGTTGCCATTTTGTGTCTCGTATTCCTACTTCTCTTTCAGCAGTGCCATTCTACGAAAGAGGAAAGTACAACCTGTAATGATGTGTACACCTATGCTACCTGAATTGATCATACTATGATAACCAATGCTGCTTCGAACCATTTCATCTAGTTGTTCGGGGGTTCATCCTTGAAAATCGCTAGCGTGATGCTGTTGGAGGCTGAGCACCTCGCGGTAAGGCGTTGCAGACCTGGAAGTCATGTATCCAATTTTTCAGACTAGCAACACTAGATCATCACCTTCTCTTCGAACCACTTCTATCGGTTGAGAAACTTAGGCGTCTTCTACCCCTATCGAAACTCTCACGCTCCCTGCTTTCTATTTCAAGGATTGCTACCAGAACCGTGCCATTATCTGTACTCCTTAATTTCCTCTTACTTAGTATCAGCCTATTAGTAATACCTTCCACCTTCTTGCTCCACTAGATACCATTGAATTTGTAAAATATGCTTCTAGACAAACTTGAAGATGTCGTCCAATACAATGAAACGTCATCTGCGCTTCCACTGGTGGATTTTTGTCGTCTTGGACGTCCGCAATTGCCCCATGCTGCCTAGTGTGCCTATTGGCCATCGTATACAGCACAGACAACAAGCTTTTTTCTTCATCCGAAGGAACTGTGGAGCGATATTACATGACGATCTTGATATTCCTCGGCGCCGGAAATCTGTGGAGACGTCAGCGGAGCGACTCGGGGCCTGTTCGGTTGCGCGGTTGCGTTTTACGTTTTTATTACTAGATTTCGGTTGCGCTTTACCGAGCACGGTATCGTCTTTAAAAACCTAACCCAAATCTAGTAACAAAAACGCAAAACGCAAAACATAACCGCGCAACCGAACAGGCCCTCGGTCAAACTATGTAAGAACTACGCGCAAGGAGCACCCTACGCACCCTACTAATGCCAACGTCGGCTATGTTGACACTGATGGGTGATTGACACACAAGACGTGAAATTGCTTTTCACGGGATGATAGGGTGATGCATGTCGAGAGAGAGGGCTCGCATTTGCTTTTACAGACATCTACGTCGTTATTTGTTAAGGCATGCTCAGCGGCTGCGCCTGTGGCAATTGGCGCAGCGTGCGATGCGTGACATGATCGCCATGACCCGATTGAGGAACAATCGATCTATTGCTTCGTTTGATTGTTTCTTGATTGATTTGCTCGATTCAATCAATTCAACAACGCAGCAGCCAGGACCAATGAATCAATTTATAGAGGCCTGCATCGATTGATATGACTGATATATTGCATAGCGTGAGTAGGTAAGCCAGAAATGGCAGCATTTTGTTGTTGAAGTGGTGAGCTTATAGTACTCCCTTCGGGAATCCAGAATAGAAGCAAACCAAATCAATTCAGTCCTCAATCAAAATATATTACTATATAGTAAAATGATTCAAATTAATTTCAGACATCCTCGTGAATTAACCAATCATGAACGTCCCCTTACAGTGATTGGATTGATCGTAGAAAAATGTGGCTACGATTTCATCCATAAATTTACGTCCAGCGGCTCTTAGTTAATGCTAAACTCATCAAACATAGACCCAAATAGCTATAGAGAGCAACAAATTACTGTACTATGACTTTGGGAAACTAATTATGTAACATGCATAAAGGCACTAAACACGTAGTTATAGAACATATATTAAATTTTATAACACAATCGCTTCTACTTGCTATAGAGGATATAGTGGAAGAGAGAAAATACATGTGAAATATATGAAAATTTTATTCTAGAATGGAGAGGTTTGACACAACGAACACGGAAGACTATAGGCTCTAAGATCCTGAGCGAGGACTTCATGTAGTGCTATAGCTTGCTTTGATCCCTTACTAGTGGGTGCTCACATATTCTTGGTACTAAGAGAGCCTTATGGGAGATTTAAAGATGAGATGATGAGGTCTGGTAGTAGCATAACAGTCGCACAAGATATAATGCCGGAGGGGCTAGATTGCAATCTCAAAGGAGAGAGGTGAATGTAAATTAGTGACTTACAATAGTGTGTCACTGCCCCATAGGGGAACTACAAAGATGTGACGTAATTCTTCTGCCTACTTAAATAGGTCGCCTCACGAGACTTGTTTCCACAAAGTCAAAAAAACATATGGAAAGATGTTCAAGGACTTGCGACATCTCGCACATAGCACTTATGAGTGGGCAACTTATAGCGATGTTTCATGAAACTAGATTTCCGGGTGGAAGACACTGACTGCTTATATTTTGTTTGATTACATGATTGACAACAGGAGCTACGGCATAAATGTGAGCAGCGTCAGCGTTGGCGTTGGCGGTGTTCATACAAAGTCCATCTGATGTTCAAAGAAAGGTTAGAGCAGTTACTCATAGCCTGAGCCTACTTTGCATCTTCGCTAGCCTCGCCGCCCTAACTATGTTCTTTCTGCCCTACAGCGTCCGTTCTCTTTCCTTAACTCGATACACATTCCCCTAGCCAATTTCTCGCTCACCATTGTGTCTTATCTAGCACAAAGGCGCTGGTCACAGCGGACAACATTGTCTTTACTGACGAGACGGCCGAATTCCCTTCTTCGCTGGTGTAGGAAATGAGTTTGACATGTGGCTGGTTATCTATGATACCTGGGAGATGACAAAATTGAGTGGAAATTGACTCTATTTTTAAAACCTGGCCGTATTGTCGTCTTCTACGCTTCATTTCACCTCCCTTGTCATTCTTCCAGCTTCCAGCATAATGATGAGTTACAAGTTGCGGTGGTAGAAGTGCTTCTTGTTCTGGGGTGTACTTATTTGCACTCGCTGCGAAGGAACGGCCTGGCAATATCAAGACGTCTTTGAGTAACACTGGCTGTAAGATACTATGTACCTCAGTTGGGTTGATGGTCTTGAGCTTCTTCTCTAGGCTTCTGAATATAATAGTCGTTAACCGTCGGGGACCTGTGAAGTCTACAACGTCTCCTATCATTTTCAATGTAAGGTCCTTAACCCGGACATTTTATTGAGCGGTCTTTTGTTGCACTTCTTCAAGAATATCGTCAATAACTTGCATCATGCGTGGTGATCGTGGTCGAGACATTATGGTCCAGCTGGCAAATTGGCGATCAAAGGGCTCTGGCCATTCTGCATCGAATTCCCATACCACGACAAGTGCAGCCTCTTTGTACTCCGCTGGTACCCATTCATCTATCGGTATTTGTTCGCAAAACACATCTAAATCGTACCAGATTCCGCCTTGATCCCAAAGTAACAAACAGCGCAGCATATCAGCTTTATAGATAGGGATAGAGAATGCGAGGTAGGTCTGGGCAATATCGGGTCGGAAAGCAAAGGCTTTACGAACGTATTCGTCACTGCCCTCATCTGTAATAAAGTTTGCTTCATAGTGGAGATTACTTTTTATACAGGTGTCAGTCCAGTTGCGCACGTCGTTAGAGATGCCTTTAGGGCCCAACTTATACCAGATAAACTTGGGAATTCCATTCGTGGTGTGCTGCACGGCTGCGGGCGTTCGGAGGCGGCTGGCAAACGAGCGAAAAAATGACATTCGCTTGAAAGGAGGTGGTAAACCAGTCCGATTACGCAAATTGCAATCAGTGCGTAATAATTGAGTATTCTGGCCAAATGTGCTGGTCGTGGTATCATTGTAAAATACTGTGAGAGATACTGCAAGGGAAAGTATTCTCGCTGGTGTTCTAGCCAGATTGTTTCCTCGCTGATTATGACTTGTTAATTATCCACTCCCCCCATACGGCGCTAGAGGACTTTTAGATACGACCCGTTTACTACGCCGCATGCATGTGAAAGCGTGTCGTGTCACGCACGTAAATACTCATCTTTATGGGTCGCAAGAGGCACTGGCATAACTGTAACAGATCTAATTTGAGGAGCGTGCAATGATGGCGGCTCATTTCAGGGATCCTCTCGCCTCCGTGTGGGACTCACGATGGAACCATGGGGAGAGCCTGTAAACGATACGGACGACAGCTTCTACTACGTTTCAAATTGATCACAACCGTTTTGACATTAGACTGATGAGTATTGCCCTCCCTATTGGAAATGCGATATAAACAGGAAGGATCCTAGGGCTTGTAAGCGCTACATGCAAGCGCCGCTGTGCCGCCTCCTTGCATTTTCCCACCACCACAAACAAATTGCACAAGTAAGGCGTGAAGTACATGAGCATTATCAACTTAGTTGCACATTAGTTCACCCGTAGTGTTCTCTAGCTTTCGCTCATTTATGTTCGTGGTTTGCATTTCGCATTTTCATCTAATCATCTTTTCTGCCTCATCGAATCAGTACTTGTGCGGTCTTGGAGCAAACGCTTTTCGGTATAGCTCGCACGGCAGCATAGGATTTGTCAGCCGGCCTCATTGCTTATTTATCTAGTCTCATGGAGTTCATCAATCCCCCACCCTTCGGAGTCACTAGGGATCTGAGCAACAGCCCAACCTATGACGAAGGTACTACTGTGAACATTGCCTGCACTTCGGGTGAGAAGGGGGTAGGGGTCTCATTGTGTCTTTACCAACCAAATGAGACAGATGGAAAGTGGTTTGGAGACATAGAATATCTTACCCGTATGCAAGATACTTGTTCGTTCTTGATTACTCGAAAAAATAAGCTAACTTCCGGAACCAGAGAACGCTGTGGATATTATGAGATACTCCTGGCTCTTCTGAAAAAGAAAAAATCTCACACTGTCCAAGTTGTTTTACCTTAGTATCTTCCAAGAAGGCAAAGGCTCCTCGGATTCGAACAGCCATTACTTCTACATCGCGGAAAAGGGCATTGGGGAATCCTCTTCCCCTTCCTTCTTATCTTCGGCTTTTTCTTCTACGTCGATACCACAAGCTATATCAACTGTAGCACCGACTCTGATTCCGACAAGCTCGAGCATGCAAAATCTCAGAACCAGCACAGGAGTGGTAGGCCTTCCGACCAGCGATGCCACAGATTCACAAACCCTTCCCGATCAACAATCCTCATCAGATAGCTTTCCTTTGGCTGTTAAGATCGGTCTCGGTACAGGGATACCTGTCGCTCTTGCCCTTAGGCTAGTCATAGGATGGCTACTTTTTCGCCATCGCAAAAGGAGAGACACTGCTCCTCCCTACGGATTGCACGAAATACCTGCTGGTCAAAACATGCAATACAAGCACTACAATAATGAGGGTTATTATGGTTCGGGCATTATGAGGCGCCACTGAAGTCACCAGTGGAGATAGGTCAGCTATACCCGCAGGACTTCGATGGTCGCGTAGTCACATCACCAAACAAGCCTGCAGCTACACCTCATCATGCACCAGTACGGTTCGAGATGTGAGTTGCAGCCTCTCTGAACTGCTACTCAACAAGTGGTTCAGGCGCCTACATGGCTCGCCCATTTCTGCTAGAATGCTATGAAATGGTGAGCTTTACGCAATAATGCTGAACCCACGTTATCTATGCGAGCAAGATATCATATATTATGTCCCCTAAAATGTGTCAATACTTCTCATCAGTAGCAATCCTAATAGTTAATACATGCATGGATTGAAGCTAAATAACTAGTTGCAAAGTATCAGTCCATATGAGTTCTTGCATGTCCGTGCTTTTCAAAAGAGAAAATAGAAAAAATTGGCTTCGGCTCGTAGCTATAGGATGGGTGTGGCTGAAGGGCAACAGCTATCGATTAGCGCTGCCCGCCTTGGGGGTGGCGCTGCTCCCACAGCTACGCAACAAACACATGTCGTCCATCCAGCATTAAGGTTAGATTCACTCTAGGACACACTTTTAAACAAGCGCATCGTCCGCCTTTTTCTGAGACGCAACTTGAGTGTTGAGATAAATCTCCGACCTACTTACGACGTAGATTCGCAGCCGTGGTATTCTCTTGAATTCATCTACTTCACAACTTCACTCATGAACCCACCCGTTAATTTCGACAAAATCCGTCCTCTTCACTCCTATATCTTTTGCGCATTGAAACAATACTTTACCTCGATTCCATAGGCAGCACTAGGCCAGAGCATTTACAACAGTGAACTACTCCCAGCATCTCCATCTCAAGTTTGAACACAACAACTTTTTGAGAGGCAACCTGGGGTGCGCAGTTGAAATTGACATTGTTCATGTCTTCTTTGTCTCATTGTTACATCTCCAAACGATGATTGCTCTTGTATTTCCTTTGCTTTGTCGGCGAACACAACACTTTGGTTTATGTTCAAAGGGGGCCGAACGAACAGTGGCCTCTGAGAACTTTCAGGTAGCAATTTCAAAGCGCTGTCAACATATTGACGACGAAATTTTACTCTCGGTCATTATGGAAACTCCGATGTACTTATTGCGCTATCTCCCATAGCATTCCCACAAGCAGTTGAAGTAGCCTGCCAAAACGCAACACTGAACCTGATAGGCTACGGCGGATCCCATTCAGAGATATAGAATCCGAGATACGATACAAAAAGCCCAAATACCACGCCGGACTCCAACAAAGCCTTCTCATCCCGTGGGGAAAATGCCTAAACGAGCTGCCGAATCTCAGCTTTCGGATAGAAACCCTTCCAAGAAGCAAAATACTGGGGATGTAGACGATCCTGCTTCGCCAAAACTCCAAAATAGAGCGGCGGGTGATTCTCGGGTAGCCGCTTCAATAGAAGAAGATATCATCGATGTTCAGGAGGACGGCTCAGCTCCACCGAATGACGTGCAGGATATTGCAGACGATGAAGACCTTGACGATACATCTGCAAAGAACAAGACTGACCCAGAATCCAAGACTTCTAACAGCAAGTCGAAAAAGACAAAGAAACCTCCAGTTGGCGATGGCTTCGCAACTTTCACCCATAATACTGTAATTCCTCCAACCAACTTTTTTTGGGGCATCAAGCCCATGCCCGGCGACCCACGTCCCGACCCCATCCAGCCCTCAGCCCGAGAAAGCAACGGGCAAGTCAACCCACCCTTATGGGAAGACCGAGGCTACCGCTACAAACGTGGCTCTCGCTACGTCAAGTACTTTGGCCCCATCCCTCCATCCAACATCGACTCCCTAAACGAATCCCTCGACCAAGAAGCCCTCCACACTGTGAAACTGATCGACATGCGTCCCAAGAGCAAAAAAGACCCAACCCCAAAACGCAAACCAACGATATACTGCTACGGGAAAACACCAAAAGACTGGAACAAGATGCAAACCATCAAGGCCCTAAACGACCGCCGCTACCAAGCCATCGACCGCACGACAATGGATAGGCCCTGGCAGCGCATGGAGCGCGAATACCTAGCCTCTCTCTTGCAAGAAACGCCCAACGCCTCAATCTGGGAGCTGACTGAGCGCCACAACGCGCGCTTCATGAACCAGGACTTTACCGAAGCCACGGGATTCAGTTTTGCGAGCCTGTCTGCCGGGCGGACGGTCGAGAGCGTACGTTACGAATACACGACATACAAGCCACTCTACGATGCAGGTAAGGTACCCGAAGCAATCCGGTGGCGCGGCGATCCATCCGTACAAAGCAAAGCAGTGAAGGAGAGTGGGCGAGCTGAACGGACGTTCGGGAAGCCAAGCCAGGCACTGGAAATGGCACACGATGCTGCCATCGGGGGTAGTAGCGAAGACGAAGACGAAGACGAAGCAAATGCAACTTCACCACACGAAAGGGGTACGTCATCAAACCCGCTTCCCGACCAGGAAGACATCGACGAAGACGAAGAAATGCTACTCGAGCTAGCAGATGCGCATACGGCACCGACATATCTCTCGAGCAGATAAGCCAAAAGGGTAAAAAAAAATATTCACCCTCAACCCCAACCCCAACCCCCATTTCTTGCGTTTCTTCTCCATTACGAAATAACGATTGCGTAGCACATATACTTGAAAAAACAAACAAATATATAATAACAGAAATCGAGGCTGAAAAAAAAAACACCGCTGCCACACAGTGCCAACCCCAGCAACTCCCTCACACGAACGGAACCGCAAATACGCAGCAAAGACAGCGCTACCTTACCCCCGCCACAACCTACCAACCCATTATTCAGAGACAAGACAGTTTTCATCTCGTTCTCTTCCCCCCCCCCCCGCCCCCCACGCGCGCGCAAGACGTTCATGTCCAGAATGACGCAGTACCACGCACTCAGCGTCCCGTACCGCAACGCCGCACCTCGCTGCACGCGATGCGCAGGATGGAAATAGACGAGAACTACAGTGATGAAGATGATGTGTGAGATTGTGCCTTTGTTGAATGAGGTATGTAGACAGTTTTGCGATGATGGCGTTGCAGTGTAGGTAGGATAAAGATGAGAAATAAAATGGAAAGGCAAGGCATTTGGTTCTTTTTTTTGGTAGATAGTGATATATGTGACGCCTAGGAAAGTGATGGCTAAGTGTCTTTGTTATATGTATGAATTGGATGTGATGGTTTGTAGTTTTCTTTGAGTGTCTCGGGTCACTGGGGGGGGGGGAGGAGATTACCACATCACCGTGCATGCTTTGTGCTGCTGCACAACTGTTGCTCGGACGCAACCAGTTTGGCACACAAGTGGAATAATAGCGATCGACATAACAGGTCTTTATTCATTTCCATCAATTCGTACACCTCTAACCATTATACAAAAACATACTGTTACACATATGGCCATGGCCCTTGAATATTGCGATAACCGCGAACGCCCCGACGCGAGTCGCTTCCAAAGATCCCTGGTCCTTCTAATAAAAAAAAACAAAGCAATATTCCTAAAACGCCCCATTTAGCCACCGTCGGTAACTGTCAGGCTAGTAGCCGCGCCAGTCGGTAATCTTGCCTGGCTGTTACCCTTTCAGCCCTGCCTTGTATTGCCCCTCACCCAATGAAGTCAATCTCACTGGGGTACCCAAGCTCCGATGCGTCAACGCCGTCAAGTCCCGAGCCCATTCCCAGCAAATCGGTATTAAGCGTCTGCGCATCGGACTGCAGGTTCGGTAGAGGGTTCGCAGGGTCCCCGCCGAGGTGCAGGTCAAGCGCATCGTCAGAGCTGCGCGTGCACACAGCAGACGATGGGGCCGCTTGGTGCATCACGCCGTGCCTTCGATAGTGTCGCTGACGCATCCAGCGAAGATATACAGCGAAGCCGTCTCCGTGGTCTGGTATGCCGATGGGAGCGAGGGTGCTGCGGGTGCCGCAGGACGGGTACTTGACGGGGGAGCGGTGGGCTAAAAGTGGGGATCAGCGGGACGGGTCAGGAACATGGATTGCGTGCGTCGTTTCTGGAACGCGCGGCGTAGGCTAACAGCATGCTGTGTCTACGCATGCGAGGAACAGATCTGACAAGCTGACTCACTGTGAGACATGTTTCTTCGTGGTAGCGAAGAGTGGACTGGCCCGTATCGGTATGGTACCAGTGGGGTACGGTAAGGAGGTGCTGGTTGATGTTGGCTCGGCACCGGGAGGTTGTAGCCCTCTTGTATTCGACGCTGGGGGTGAAGTAATCCAGGGCAGGGTCGAAGCGGTCGATGAAGGCGGGGCTGTGGTGCGGTGGTGCGGCGGGTGGGGTGGGTGCAAGGGTGCAAGGGAGGAGACGGCGTTGTAGTAGCGGCCGTTTGGCGGGAAGCAGAGAGAGACTGCACTGTAGCAGCAGTAGTTTTGCAGAAAGCAAGTGGAGGTAGTGGTGCAGTGGCAGTCGTACTGTGAGAAGTAGGGGGAGGGCACTGCAGTGGCAGCGGGTGGAGGCGGAGGCGGCGTTGTGTGGAAAGCAGGGAGACACGGCGCTGTAGTAGTGGCAGCGGCAATGTTGAGGAGCAAAGGAGAGTGGTGTTATAGGACAATGGCTCCGGTGTGGTATAAGAATAATAGGTTGGCGAGGATACTTGCTGACTTGCGCAATACTTCAGTCGGGGCAAGATGCAAGATGCGCAAATGCGTGCACGCGAGGTTTTTATCTTGCCCAACCCCGGCGGCCGCTTTCGAGGGCCATTGTGAGCAGAGCCTCAGACCCCAGGCGACACTTCTCGTCACTCGAACAAGCTTACCATGAAACCCCGGCTTGTTGTCCTTGGCGCCTCTTGGCCAGAGGCGATAACAGTTGCGGACGGTCATGAACAAAAGGCGCAATGAGTGAGTGCACGTAGACGCGATTTTACCCGGACCAGGAAGGGAATGGTGGCCACGTTAGCTCCGTCTTGCCATACGTCGAATGGTGTTTCAACCCTTTCACCTGCAGCCATACCGGTGAAGTGCAAGAAACGTGACATTGTGCCAGTACGTAGACACGGCGAGACGCGAGAGCCTAGAGCGTAATCAATCTCGTATGCATGCGCCCGTCCCATGTGCATACGTCAAAGCAACATGTTCACACACCTAGGTCTATCTGACAGGCACAGTTTTCAGGTCCCGCCAGTCAAAGGTGCATCTCTTTTGGCCCCTTGAGCTTACGCGGTCGCACCATGGCACACAAATTTGGCTGGCCACGTTGTCTAGTGTGCAGGGCAGTTTATACCGCCAGTCCACCCAGTGCGAATGCGAGTGTCAATCATGCGGGGAAAGGACACTACTGGAGACAACGTACGATAGCACGCGATGAAGAGGCCCGACCGATGGAGCAATGATGACATCTTACGCAGCAAATGATGGTCAATTGATGCTTTCCTGGTTAGTGCGCGCACCGTTTTTTTCTTCTTGTGCCCTTTGGGCTACGCACCTTCAGCGCGTCCGGACCCCTGGCGACGTGCCACAAGAACAAAAAAAGGGCCTACACTACAGCTACTTGGCCCACACGGCAGACCGAGCTATGGGTTCTCCGGAAAATTCTGCAAGTGCAAGCGAAGGATGATTAGGTATAGACCTTGCGGGGTCGCTAGACATCACTGATCGGTCATCATCGTTATGTCTTTCGAGGTCCTGCCTTGGCAAGCATGCACATGCTAGATGTGTAACGTGCCTTGCCACCGTCGTATCCTAAGGTGACAGCAGCGCTGCGCCTCAGCGAGTACCCCCTCTGAGGAGTACTGGGTGAGGTTTTTGACAGCTGTCGTTCGGTGGCCCGCATTCCAATAACCTGGACACAGGTATGGTGGGCGGCCATCATGGCCAGGGCACCGCTAAGAGAAATTTTGTTGAGAAAGAGGGGACGGAACCCGTTTGCCTGATTTCGAGAAGCCCGGGCGGCTACTGGCGACTGGCTCAGTCTTGGGTTTCGTTTGCCTTACTATGAGGCGTTTCGCAGGGCTTTGGATGCGGCATGGAGCTTGACCACAGCCCAACCCTCCCATGTACATTGTCCTCTGCAATCAGCGCTCAGATCATCATCTCTAGCAGCAATGGTACTGCGTAGGGTGTGGCAGCAGATCACCAAGACGATTGATTGTCCCATGGATTGACGCTTATCGTTCCTTGGCGAGCTTATCGCTTGCAGGCCTCGGTATTGGTATGACACCAGCTCCCCCGCAACTCCCCACAACCGCTCCCGACCAACAGCGTCAACCCATTACTAACATATCCAACTACATGATTGCAAATCAGGCACATGTTTATAGCGGTATTATTCATTATACTTCCCACATCGTCATCTCGAATCTACCTGACTGACTTTGCACAGTTATTACTACATTCATCCAGACACACCTCTCATCTCCCCAACCACAGTCATTTTGGAGCAGACAGAGCCATTCCGCTGCGGCGCGTCCAACATAACCTTACGAGACCCATGAGTGGATGACGATATCATCCATGGAGCGGCCCGCGGGCCTTCCTCGGTCGACTGCTGGGGCTGTCATACAGAAACAACTGGGTTGCACAAGGGCCTATACTGAGACTTGGATGCTATTGCGACTGGCGACGTCACTTTAAACTGCACCCATACTCGTATCAAGACTGTACGAGCATTCCAGTTATGCCCTGGCTGAGTGACATGCCACCCGGCCTGCGGTGTGACGTTGCATAAATGCCAAATCGTCGACGCTAGATCGCCTGCGATCGATGACGGGATGACCGTGGGTTGTATCGAATAGCGGCGACGGGCGGCCCGAAAAGCTGGAACGAGATCGCGCCTAGTGCCATCGCATACGATCGCATGCGAACTGGTACCTGCATGACGATATCATGCTTCCTTTTCACGAAGTCGAGACGTCGCTAGTCCGTCGGCGTGAGAGCCTGCGATACCAGGTTCGTACCCGGCCTAGGATGGTGTCTGGCAGTGGCTCGTCGTCGGGAAATGGAGACGAGACTTCAGACGGAGGGGTAGCTTGATCGCGGTGCTGGAGATGCTCTTCGTCCATGCGGACGAGGTCTGCATGGAATTGTTGCATTATCGAAAGTGCTGGCGAGTAGTCTGAGCTGAGATGATTCGGGAGAGGCGGCGGGAAGGCTTCTTGGCCGGCATAGTAGTGGTGCTGAAAGTCCATGGCGATCATGTCTCTGGGCGTGGTCGTCTTTGCAGTGGATGGATTCTGGGGAGTCGTATCTGGGGAGATGAGATCTGGGAATCGTGCGAGTTTATACCCGGGCTGGTGAGAGACTATATCCAAGCACTAATAAAGTATCCGGTGTCGTCATGTGATGTTGCTTCTTTCCACGCCCAATGGCGCGTGCCACGATGACCATCATGCCTGTCCAGCACGAGCCCCCGTGGTTTCAACAGAACAACAAATCTGGGTCGTTCAATAGCGCCTTGTCTCTGTATGTACTCGTCACTGGCAGCGTCATTATCCTGTTGGAACCAGATTGCGCCAGCTTCAGGCCCTGCAGCGCGCTGGCAGATATGGCCCTGCGTCAGGGGCATGCGCGCCGCTCCTCGTCTCCGGCCATTGTCACTAGACTAGGCGTTTCAAAAAAAATCCAGGTACGCGTATGATCAATGCTGAGGCCTTTACACACATCACGATAGTCTGCGATAAGCGTCCATGGTGTTGAGGGGCCGCATCGGCTTGCGCATTCCGACCGCGCCCTGCCACCTCGGCTGCCGGGCGATTCCGGCCAGTGACGTTGCACCTGAACACCTCGATGGCTGTGCTGAGCACCTTGCCGTCATGGCCACGACAAATAGAAATAATGCTGCTCCCCACACATCTTCGGCGACTTTCTGCCCGCTTGCTCAAGCTCCACTGTCTGCATTTCCTTGATACTAGCCCGCCATCGAGACTCTTCGTTATAAAGTAGAGAGATCTGCCCGTGATGCCAACCCCACCCTTCTCCCAAGATCGCCGAGACTGGCTGAGTGAAATTTCCGGCCTGTTTTCGCACCAGAAGAGCAAGAGTTTGAAACAGACAAAGTCGACATCGACCATAAATCTCAACATTGGCATTCCAAAGGCATTCGACGCAGTTTCTACTACCAGCCAAGATGACGCCTCCGCAAAAGATCAAGCAATGGCTTACAGGCCAGGACGGTCTCGATAAGCTGAGAATGACAGAGGCAGACTGCCCAACACCAGGCGAGGACGAAGTACTGGTGGAAATTCACTCTGTCAGCTTGAACTACAGAGATACAGAGGGTATGTGTTGATGTATCACAACTCGACGACCATGACGCTAATCACGTGAACCAGTCGCAATGGGTCTCTACAACCATCACTCCTCCGTCGAGCACCCACCCGCAATTGTACCATGCAGCGACATGTGCGGTGTCGTCGTTGCGGTTGGCCCAACATCTTCCAACACCAATGACCCCTTCAAGAACCCAGCCTTTCAACTCAAACAAGGCGACCGCGTCATCAGCACCTTTGCCCCAACCCATCTATCCGGCCAAGTCAAAGCCTCAGACGTCGCAAATGGCCTCGGTGGTCCCGCCCCAGGAGTCCTAACCCAGTACCGCGTCTTCCCCACGTACGGCGTGGTCAAAATCCCAGACTACCTCTCGGCAGATGAAGCAGCATGTCTTCCCATCGCCGCAATGACGGCATGGATGAGCCTCAACTGCATGCGCCCAAACGGCTCCATCATCAGCAAAGACGAAACAGTGGTATGCCAGGGCACCGGCGGCGTCAGCATCTCCGCCTGCCAAATCGCCACCGCCGCCGGCGCAACCGCAATCGTCACCTCGTCCTCTGACGAAAAGCTGCAGCGCGCAACGCAGCTCGGCGCCAAGACCACCATCAACTATCGCGCGCAACCCGACTGGGACAACGCCGTGCTCTCCGCCACCGACGGCCAAGGCGCAGACATCATCATCGAAGTCGGCGGCGCACAGACGCTGCGCAAGTCGTTTGACTGCGTCCGCTTCGGCGGCTTAATCGCTTGCATTGGCTATCTCTCCGGCAAACAAGATGATGCCTCTGATCGCACAAATACAAACCTACTCTGCCTCAAGCGCAATGTCACGCTAAAGGGCATCTTGAATGGCCCGCGCGATGAGTTGGAGCGCATGCTTGCGTTTTACGAGCAAAAGCAGATTAGACCCGTCGTTGATCGCGTGTGGGGGTTCCAAGAGGCCGATCAGGCGTTGCGGTATTTGTTTAGTGGGGGGCATTTTGGAAAGGTGGTTGTTAGGGTTAAGGAGTAGTAAAAAATATTGCTGGTAGGGGGGGGGATTAACTTGTATGTTATAGTTTGGGGGGGATAGATAAGTGAAAAGAGTTATAATAGAAGTAGGGGTTTTTTTTAGTTTATTTATGCGACAAGGTGGGAATACGATGATGGTAATTTTATTTTACATGCCAACTCCACACACACACAACCATTACAACTTTGACATAGCACCATCCTCGTATTCGCTCAATTCTCGCCTCTGTCTCCCCTTTACTTTCTGACTCCCGAATTCCTTGCCCTCGCCATTGCATTTAGCTAACCATTCTGGACTCTTCCACGCCCAGGCTGCGTCTTTTTCCTCGCCGTTGGACTTGTCGAATAGGACGTTGAGCATGTATGCGCCTGCGACGGGGAGGAATCTATTATGCGTTAGTATCTCTGGCTGAGAAGAAGATGAGGAAGAATCAAAGGGGTTTATGAGGGGACGTACTTGTAAGAATGAAAGCTACCTCCAACGGCAATGTACAAGTTCTGCAGTTGCGCATGCGGATGGCGACTCAGGAGCCAATCTTCACTCGGTGTTACAGCATCATAGCATATGCGCCATCGACTGGGGATGCGGTTTTTCGTCCACTGCGGCATAGAAGCATGAATGAGGCGAGTACTTTGCTGCTTTAGTTTTTCGGGGACATCGGTTTGGTGTCTACGCGAGGGAGCAGTGATGCGGTGGCCCGAGGGCGTAGTCACCGTGTTTACGATTTCAGACGTTAAATCATTGATTTTGAGGGTACGATTGGGAGTCGAAGGCGGGATGATGTCGATTTCGCCGCCGATGACAATGACGGGTTGGTCTTGCGAGACGAGCAATTGTGTGTCGGAATCGTCGAGCGTATAGTATGCTGAGACGCGGCCGACGGCTGTGACCTGGCGCTCGATGCGATCTTGGTGCGATATCTTAAGCGCATCTTCGAGAGGAGACATGAGGGTGCTGGTCCAGGCTCCGGCTGCGAGGACTATCTTGTCGGCGGTCAGAATGCGTCCGTCTCGTAGCTTGGCGCCGGCAAGACCGGATTTGTCGCGGTTGAGGACGAGCTCTTGAACTTCGCCAGTTATGCGCTTGACGCCGAGTTCTAAAGCGACTTTGGTGAAGCTCTGTGTAGCCCTTTCGGCATCGCACCATCCGGCCTCGGGGTTGAAGTAACCTTTGCCCAGCCGCTGGGTTTGGACTCCCTTGGTTATGTCGTATTTTTCCAATTCACCGGGATCAACATCACGCGTGTAGTCGCCTCCTCTTTCAAGAAAAGTCTTCCTCACTGCATCGCCAAAACCTCCCTCTTTACTATCGAGTACAATCCATCCTGTCTTGTGGAAATGGCCTTGGACTGCAATGCTCCAAAACCAAAAATGAATTGCTTCGTTGGCGAGATTGCAATATAGATGCGAATCATAATCTGTGCGAATGATGCGATTTGTATCAATGGCTGCTGCTTGTTTTTCTTCCAGAGGCGATGTTGTATCCCAGCGGTCGACAATAGTTATGCGCGAAGGATCCTTGTATTGTTTGCTGAGATGGTACGCAGTCGATGTACCAAAAGTACCAGCACCAATGATAAGCACAGTTGGCTCTTGATTCGCCATGGTGATTGCTAGTAAGATTGAAGGGTTTAGGAAAACTCTAGGGGTACTCTGGATGACGATGACATTTTGGTGTTATGGACAAGCCTGTTACGCTAGTGCTGCGGGGTCTCTGCGGATCCGATGTGGCAGCTTGGCCAAAACGGTGCATTCTCATAACCAAGAAACTGCCTCGACTTTGCGTTTTAATATTTCGGGATAAACCTTTCCGAGCAGCCGCCTCGTTATCGACAGAGTCTTACCTGAATGACGGATGGATGTGCGCCTCCTCGATTTATGATGCCGAATAGCTGGCTAGTCTCTTAAGTGGTCTCGGAATCTTAATGCAGGTACGTCTTTTATACCTTTATTTTTTCTCGGTCATTTCCTCTAATCGCAAAGTTAGTAGTTACTTAGCCTCGATAAATTCACCCTGTATCTATTACGTCCTTTCGCGAACGGCTGATTAAGGTCTCTCCACTACGTCCCATGGCAGAAATGGCAGCACGGCAATGCTGTAGCGTTATGAAAAGCTAGAGGAACGAATTCAATGTTTGTTCTGTAGTCATGATTTTGAATCAACAAAAATATTGACGGCGTCTAGAGGGTTGACTATATGGAATGTTAGTGCCACTCAATCAGCACTCCTTCCATAACAACTATGCGCTAGTCCGCTTTCGGTCAACCAGAGGCGCTCGGCAAACCTTCCTCATGGAAACCCAGAACGGTCGAGGGTACAACAGACGCAGCAACCATCGAAGTATAAAGACATTGGCAGACGTCAAAAGAGGACGCAGAGATTGTGCAGGATTTCAAAGAGAGGCAATATTCCCAGCTGGCCGTGTCGAATCGAATCGGCCTTTGAGCGATAGCAGCCGGTGACTCAATCGGCGGCGGCCCCACCCAGTTCAAGTCTACAGTGCAGAATCAGCAACTCTGAACCTGACATCACCATGGCACCCAAGATTCATCTCGTTCGCCACGCGCAAGGAGAGCACAATGCGACAGTATGTTTGATGGGGCGATCATGTTGGACGAGTCTAACAGACAACAGCGCGACTACAGCATTCGCGATGCAGTACTAACGGCCAAAGGCAAGGAGCAGTGTCGGGCCCTCAGCGCAGCGTTTCAACACCACGATGAGATAGAGACAGTGTTTGCGTCTCCACTGCGGCGGACAATCCAGACGGCAGCGCTTAGTTTTGGACGGGTGCTGTCGCGGCCAGAAGTACCGTTTGTGCTGCTACCGGCGCTGCAGGAGGTCAGCAACATTGGATGCGACGTAGGGCTGGCGGATAGTGCGGCTGATTTGCAGCGACTACTGCCTGATTTGTTCGAGGCCGGAGAGATTGATTTTGATCTCAGCAAGATTGATGCGTCTGCGGTAACGCCGGGCTGGAATTCCAAGGTCGGCACATGTCACTGGTCTGACGTCAGGGTATGCGCTAATGGGGTCACGTGCAGGACGGCTACTGGGCGTACGAGAAGACGGCCATCAGCAAGCGCGCCGCAGACTTGAGGAGCTGGCTATTCCAGCGGCCAGAAGCCCAGGCAAGCAGGACAGGGGCAGAGTTTGCCAGGTGGCTGACTGACTGACTGACTGACTGATAACAGGTGCTGGTGGTGACGCACGGGGCGTTTGCGCATTTTCTGACCGAGGACTGGGACGTTGAAGATCCCATGCTGGGCACTGCATACAAAAATTGTAGGTGCATATCCGCCACAGTTACCTTTAGCGACGCTGACGCCCGGACAGGTGAGCATCGCGTGTTTGTCTTCACGCCTGACTCGACGGCTGCCAAGGCCCATGTGGAGGAGACGTGGGAGAGCAGACGCGGTAGAAGCACGGTAGAAGTCGAAAAGGACCCGCACGTCGTCGACGAGTTCCTGACTACGGCTGCGTAGATAGGTGGTACATCGGTACGGATGGACTGGGGCGAGCCAATGGGCCCTGAGATGTTTTGTTAAAAGGCGCAATGTTAGGGGCGTGTGTCGCGTGAGACAGGGTGAGGGGGGCAGGGGGGGGTAGTTTGTGGAGGTGGGAAGGTTCTGTTGCATGCGATCTGGAGAGTTGCAATGTAGTATAGCATAGCAGCGCTACGGCACGCGCCTGTCCATAGCATGATGCATGGATGCTGGGGTAAAGATAGGGATTTTTTTTTCTCCTGCAGGCAATGGACAGACAGACGGTGGACAGGGTGGATGTGGTGGATGTGGTGGATGTGGTGGATGTGGTGATTGGCAGGCGCGACTCTCGGCAATGCACTCCACAAGACCCTCGTTTCTATACTAGTAGTGTTTAACAGATAAGTGAGTGCTAGTCTAGTGTGGTTGGAGCAGGGCAGAGTGCAGGGCAGAGGGCAGGGCAGGGCAGATGACTTTGGCTGGGCGGCGGCGCGGCAACGACCAGGATCGGAAGAGGCTCTCGCTAGACCGGGTACCTGCTCGGAGGGCGCGGACAAGCCCCGCCGAGGCTCGGGTGGGTGCGGTAAACAGAGCTTGTCCGCGCCCCCAAGGTCAGCCACCACAGCCCTACCGCAAAACATCACTGCGCAGGCACGTCATACACTCCCCATCGCGCAATCCCAAATGCCTCCCGCCAGCTTATTCCCGCACAACGCGGGGGAAGGCCAGATGCACAGGTCTCTTGCTTCCCTCGTCGCATGCCATCTGGGGCATTGGCCCCGACAAACCCCGTTCAGTGCCGCCGTTTGGTCCCAAGCACGTCCCAGCATTTCCACCCACACACGTAAAAAGATGAAAATTTTACGTCAACTGCGACGCGCCATGTGGAACCTCGTCGTCCCCAACGCCACTAGATCCTCCCCTGCTAATCGCACGTACCATGGACTGGTTCGATACGCTGCCTTAAGCCGACGACCGCTAACCTCGTCCATCGCTTGCTCTCGGTCAACTTCGGTCGACCGCCATCTTGGGAGCGCGCGGGGGAGCCACCACTTGGAACATTCTATTACACATTCACAACGGGCGGAGAGATAAGCAACTCCGATATAAAGATGGTCCTGTCTTCCGCCTCACTGTTACACCCACCCATTTACTGCGCCTGCTGCACACTGCTAGTCTCCTCGTCTCAGACTACGTAGACTACGTCACCGAGCAGCAACCCTTCTTGACTCGACGCTGCCCGCTACCCGTTTGGTCATCTGCACTGCAACTGCTCCTTTGGGAAACAGACGGTAGACTAGCTTGTCAGCAGACACCCGCAGCCAAAAACAACGGTTGCGCCCTTCTTTCTCCTCCATACTCTTACTCCCCCATTCTTTTGGACACACCTTCATCCTTATCCAAGATGCAGGAGGTACAACACGCCCACGGTGCAGGCGATGTGCCCACCACCATCCCTCCTCCTCACTACGCTACTCCTCCAACAAACTACCGCCTTGATGACCTCTCGTCCGAGGGCAAGAAGAGCGACCCGGAGCTTATGATGCCCGTCGACAAGACTGCCACTGTCCAGGAAGGATCTGAGAAGTTCCATCGCCTTGGTTGGAAGCAGCTCACCGTCTGTCTGATTGTCGAGGCTATTGCCCTCGGCTCTCTCAGTATCCCCAGCGCCTTTGCTACTCTCGGCATGGTCCCCGGTACCATCATGTGTGTTGGTCTCGGTCTTGTTGCCATCTACACCTCCTACGTCGTCGGCCAGGTCAAGATGCGATACCCTCATGTCAACCACTACTCGGACGCTGTTGCACTCATCTGGGGCCGCTTTGGAAAGGAACTGACTGGTGTCATGTTTGCCCTTTTCCTGATTCTGCTTGTTGGATCCCACGCTCTTACTGGAACCATTGCCTTTATCAACATTATTGGCGACTACGCGACCTGCGCCCTTGTCTGGAGCGTCGTTTCCCTCGTCATCCTCTTGGTCCTTGCGCTGCCTCCTACCTTCCACGACTTTGCATTCTTGGGTTACATTGACTTTGTCAGCATCATTGCCGCCATTCTCATCACCATCATTGCAACTGGTGTCCAGGCTCACAACGCGCCTGGTGGCCTTGCCGCTGTCGACTGGTCCGCTTGGCCCCAGCCAGGAACCACATTCTACCAGGGCTTCCTTGCTACCACCAACATCATCTTCGCCTACTCGTTTGCCGTCTGCCAGTTCTCCTTCATGTCGGAGATGCACACCCCCAAGGACTACGTCAAGTCCATCTGGGCCCTCGGTCTGATTGAAATCTTCATCTACACCCTCACTGGTGCCCTCTGCTACGCCTTCATTGGCCAGAGCGTCAAGTCGCCCGCCCTCCTCTCTGCTGGTTCCACGGTCTCCCGCATTGCCTTTGGTATTGCTCTCCCCGTCATCTTCATCTCTGGCTCCATCAACGGCACCGTCGTCTGCCGCTACATGATGGACCGATTCTTCCCCGACTCTCCCATCCGCTTTGTCAAGGATGCCCGTGGCTGGACCGTCTGGGTTGGCCTTATTTCTCTCGTCACTGTCATTGGATGGATCATTGCCGAGGCCATTCCATTTTTCAACGCCCTGCTTGGTCTCATCTCCTCGCTCTTCATTTCTGGTTTCACCTTTTACTGGCCCGCCCTCTTCTGGTTCCAGCTCGTCAAGGAGGGCAAGTGGAACGCTTCAGCCAAGAACATTTCCCTCAGCATCTTGAACGCAATCGTTCTCATTATTGGAATGGTCGTTCTGGGCGCTGGAACTTATGCCTCTGTCGAGGACATCATCACCCAGTACAACTCTGGTGATGTCAGGAGCCCATTCACCTGCAAGGCATCAGCCTACGCATAAACGCACAAAGAACAATCATGTATATATATACCAAAAGCCCATTTGGGCAGTTTATCTGTTATGACTTATGAGTCTTTAGCATAGCGACATTGTTTTATCGTCAATCAATCATATATTCAAATTTCCAATACCATGTCATGATTGGATTTCCAGTGAAAACGTGTACTCAAGGGATCAGAAACTCAGATTAGGAGAGGTGGGGTCTTCCAATCATGAATTCTCTGTTTCGCTTGCTTTCCTTTGGTTCAGCCCACGCTAGTCTAGACATGGATAGCGTGGTCTTTTGTGCTCAGCATCGCGGACTTTGGTTTAGTCACAATGTGAATATCGACATTTGCAAGCGATATTAAAAGAAACGGGTTTTTTCATCTCCAAAGTAAATCACTTCTTCACTCTGGCGCGACAGAAATCCATCATCGATTGAACATCACGAGTACCTTGAAGATGGATCAAGCAACTATTCCAACTACCGGCGCTATGCCCGAAAGGACTAGCGAAAGCAAGGCTAAGGCACCTTGCCAGCCACAATCACTTCCAGACCGCGTCATCGCCATCCTCGACGACTTTATCAAGGATGAACGCAAGCGTGACTTTTCTTTCTTAGGAAAATATAGTCACTGCTACAAGGATACAAAAAGCCTTCTTCAAGTCGAACTGGCTAGCCAATACGACATCGCCGCCATCAAGAACAAAGACGATGACTTTGAAAATGCCGGCTGGTACACCTTCGCTGAGTCGATTGACGCTTCGCGTCGCACAGTCGCCATCAGCATTCTGGACGAGGAAGATGTGAAGGTCGAGACCATGACGATCGGGACCGGGGCAAGCAACATGCGTGATGCGGCATCGTGGATACGCAACACCTACTGCACTGATCTCCAAAAGACATGGCCCAAGAAGTTTTCTGCCATACATTACGACGAGCAAAGAAAGTGGTGGATAAAGACGGGTAAATTTTTCAAGCTCCTTGAACTCCCTCTCGAGTTGCGTGAGGAAATCTACCGTCACGTCCTCGAACCCGTCGTTGTACCCGACATCGTGACGGAGGGCACAAGACGCTTCATCCTTGGTGTCGGGTTGGCCTTCGGGCCCGCCAGCGTCGCTGAACGCAACCGTGACCCAGACGTCCCCCGCCCCAACCTCAACATCATGTACGTCAACAAGCAGGTCTGCAGGGAATCCAGCGCGTTCGCATATCGCGAGTCGATCAAGCGATTCACCTCGCTGTACTCACGTCTCGGTAGGGGCCCCAAACACTTTCTGTTCAAGATATGGCAGCACGCCCTCAACTTCCCACCGGAACTTGCTCTCCAAACAGGGTTTCTGCGGCACATTCAGCTTGAAATGGATGCGGTTGAGTATTTCGCGTGCATCGGGATTTATCCGAGCAGCACATATCCGCTTCGTGCCAAGACTCCGCATTCCTTGAAGCTCACTGAGCTGGCACTGTTAACTGGGCTTCAGACGCTCGACCTGTGGTTCGTCAGTCCGAAACATCGAGTCGCGAGGTGTCCGTGGGCGCTGGCGAGTTCGGATAGGAGACCCCATGCTTGTCAGAAGAAGTGGATTGAGTTTTGGATTGTTATGGCGTGGGATGTGCTACGCGATCTACGTACAACCAAGGGGGTGAGGATTAGTTTCAACGGGTGCATCAAGACGTCCACGGTGGACTTTTGGGAGTCCAAGCTTAACGCTGCGGGAGATGGGGAAACGGTAATGGTGGAAAGTATGAAGCTGGAGATATTGCAGGAGATTGCCCCTCGGATTCGAAGAGGTGAAATAGAGTTTCCGTGTCGCTGCACGTATCCGTGCGCGGGCACGAGTGTGGAGTTGCCGGTCAATTTCAAGGATGATGAGGATCCGCGGTTGGAATCTGTCGAGGGCTGGCAGGGTATACTTGATAAGGCGTATTGGGATTTTGACGATTGAGCGGTTTTCTGATCAGAGTTTAACGGGTTTTGTTTGTCTCTTCGACATGTGTAGATATCATGCACACGCATCGCAATTTTTTTCTTGTTCACCCAGCCTACGAGCCCCAATCCACTAAAAAAAACTGTGGAAATCAAAGGTACACTGCCATCTCTCCTAGCTTCCCCTCCCTGCACGTAAGCCCCCCCTCCTCTTCCAGAACCCCCACACCCGCACCTTCCACGCATACGTACCCTATCCCTGCCCGCCAAAAAGCAAGAAAAAAAAAATTCCCCGCAAAACCTTCCCCTCACCTGACAAGCCGCCCCCTACCCCAGCTTACCCCTACCCCACACAAAATAATTACACTGCCGCTCTTACCGAATACGAGCGCTTTGTACGTAAAACCACCATGCACGTTACGCGTGCGCGACGGGAGTTTTCGGGTGAGAATATATGGGGTGTGGAAGAGTTTTTTTTTCTTTACCCCGTGGGGAAGAAGGAAGAGAGAGAGAGAGAGAGAGAGAGGGGAATTTGCGTAAGGAGAAATTTGGGGGGGTGCGGTATCGGAAGGGGGAGGGGGTAGGTGGGTGTATATAAGGGTGTCGCGCGCGCGTCTCCCCAATCTCTGTACACTATCACCTGTTCAGTTTCTACCTGATTAATTGTTTACGTCTCCTAGCTGCGACTTTGCAAACGTTTGAGTGCTGGAGGCGTGTGCTTTGACGCTTTTTTTTGGTGGAAATATGGAGGTGTTGTTCTAGTGCTTTTGTGTGAAGATATATCTGGCATCGTAGGAAAGGGACATGGAGGTGGAGTGGTGTTTTGGTCCCTGAGCGAAGATGGACGCGATAGGACTAGATATCTGGCTGTTTGGAGGATGTAGTTGTCTTTGTTCGAGGCGCGCGGTTGAGCTGAGGAGATGGCGCGGTGGGTTCATTAGCCGCTGAGTGCAACGAGATGCTTGGGGATATTTTGGACAGGCAGGTATAGTGACTGATGATGTGGATAGTTTGAGAGACCAGACGAATAGAAATAGTAGTATATCTATGAAAAATGTTTAGGAAGACCGTGGTTGATTACTCCCGTATGTCGTTTGATGGAGGTTGGATATCTCGCGTCCTACATGAGATTCATTGTGTATGAAATGACTGAAAAGGTTACTAAGAGACTGGATGTACGCGTTTGATGGAGTGATTTGTCGAGTGATAGCATGGGAATGACTTTCAAGAGGTGGTAGTGAGGAGGGCGATTGTGAGGAGAAATCGTAAGAAGAACGTCCAAGATCATGATTGGACTGTCTTTCTAACATGTCAATACTATAGAAAAAACATATTAAAATGAACATTTCATTTAAGTATTCGGATTTCCCGGCTCATCGAAATGGATATATTATAGCGACAGTTCAGAACGGTGTCCCTTGCATCTCCGGCATGTATGAGGAAGTAAAACTTTAAGCGTTTGAGGAGAGAACGAGAAGACGAGAGAGTAGGATGCTGAGTATTGTCTTCGAGAGCTTCATAGTGGGATATAGATGCTAGAATATGGCAGTGAAGATGTTGTTTAACACACTTCTTACTGAGCGAACAATGTCAGAGGAAAAATATCTCTGGATCGACTAATGTGGTGTCTTTGAAAGATTTTTCTTGTCTAACTAATTCTACTCAATGAGACTCTCCATTCTATCGATGCGACGTATCTCGTGACTTGATTTCAGTCTCTCTCGTAGGAGCTGCGATTACGAAGTACTATTCTTCCCTCTAAAAGTTGAATAGTCCAATCCTGCTTCACCCCCCTGGTATATCGAGGTCCTGTTTTTGACCATTTTTCCGCAAACACTAGAGTCAAGGCATACTCTTTAAACAACCAATAGCTGAGCGACCATTCTCTGCTCACTCAAATCTTTGATACGACATGATCTCCAACAGCAACGCCCGTCTCGACGGAGCTGCTCTTGACGCTGCTCAACTAGTGACTGCTTTTCAGCATTACCATCAGCAGAGTACTATCCAGACTAGTTCTCATCTACTTTCGTCATTTGGGCCGAGCAGTGTTGAAGTCACTTAGCCTTACATGAGTTTTATACGCTCGACTGAGCCACTCTTCGAAGGAGAAACACGGACACCAAAATATCTCATTTTCTCCTTAGTGGCAGGCCGAGTCTCAGCGCCATATTAAGTTTTCGGGTATAGGAAAGGTGCTGGTGATTTAAGGTCTAGTAGTTATGAGCAGGTGTTTAGGTGACCTTAGGCGATACATCAACGTGTATATTCTAGTAGTTCACTATGTTCAAATAGGAAAGTCTCTGCTGCGAAGGGAATTGTGAAATGCATATTTTCTGACAAAAATCATGAGTAACTCTTTGTATTTTACCGCTGGCGAATGATTTCGTAGCTACTCTGCTCTTACTTCGAAATGAGAATAAAGTGTTGTATATTCTACGATATCACAATGGTCACGGATGTATGTAGATGGTGTCACAAAGTGACGTCATTTACTACATCTATTGTTTTGATGAGCATAACCAGTATACCAGCCAATCAGTTGATTGGTGTATCGATTTAGGTGGTATTTGTACCAAGACAGTAGACCATTCGGTGAGCGGTCAACAAGCCGGCTGTATCAGCGTCTTCAACAACAATTCGACGTATATTGCTCGGATGACGATCCAGCAGTTTGACGGGACACGGGACAGTGTCAGGATAGGCGACACTGGATATGCGTGCGACCAATCCTTGTACAACAGTATGAAGCCCAAGAATACGTTTGACTTTACTCATCCAAGGCAAACTCGCTCTGCCGGTAACTGAATACGAACCGACTATGTGAACAAGGCACTCTTGCGCATTTCGCCTAGAGGACTGACGATCTCACCTTGTGAACTTTGGTAGCTAGCTAGCTTTTAAACTATGCAACTACTCCACCATAGGGCCTAGAGTTCATTAGGTCTGATAGTTAACTAACGATATCATCTTTTCGACTTGAGTAGCCGGTCGGCTTCCTAATTGTACAAATGCAACGTCATAGAGTTGGAGTACATCGGGTCTGATGGTTGACTCTGCAATATGGGGTCGAGACACTGATACCCCTGTGGTTCTCGCAGGATATGAAGTATTGTGTCGCGGTTGATGAGAACAAAGATAGTTCGAGATAGTGAATGAGTGTTGCGAGCAGAGCGACTACTGTCGAACAAAAGACTAACAAGATGTTCAAATAGAGCCTACTTGTGAGTTTGTACAGCCCCGCTAATCCTTTTTTTAACTAACCTACTTCGATAGCCGTGATCCAGGATCGGTGTACGCAATCGAGCCCTATTGCGCATTAAAGTCCCGCTAACTCGCCAAATATAGTAGTTGTGACGTACTTCGTGCACAAACCATGGCTTTGGAATCGACACGACTGCAAATCCATAAGCGTCAAGTCAATGCGTTCTTACCACGAGCAGTACAAAGTTTCGCCGTGTTTACACCATCAGCAAGACTACTCTAACACTGCCTCGTTAAATCTCGCTAATCTTTCTAACAAAAAAACGAGGAGCGTATACTTTAAATGGCGTAAGCCGCTAGACGGCTAAACACTCGTCCTCTCTTACGCCTACTCCAACAACAGCGCGTGTGGATACCGACCAGGGCAATGTAACAGGGATGTGCCCAGATTGACACGGAAATTCGCCGTTACATATCCAACGTCAATTTGTTAGCCATGGGTGCCTTGGTCTGAGGTGCATGACAGCGTTGGCAAGGTATGTTCTAGACGACAAAGCTGTACGCTTTTGCTTGTTGCGAACCAGGACGTGCCATCTGTGACGCCGCGCTGGCAAGGCGTGTCATATGTACCTGACGTGACTGCAGCGCGCGCCGGGACAAAAAGATGGTAGCATGAAAAAAATCTGAATGAACCGCCTCCCCGCGTGGAGACGAGTGGCGGGGAACGGGACTGGGATGCTTGTAGCGGCTCGGCTTGTGGTAAGCGAACGAGTGTAAAGAGCAGAGTACAAAGGACAGGAGTCAGTGGCGTTGGCGAAGAGGCGGTCAAGTGTAGTCGTTTATACTCTGTGGGCCATGTTGAGGTGCTACTTGTATTCTTCCGTGCCGAATACCCCCGCACGAGCGGGACCAGCTTACATGAAGCTAGCAGGCGAAGAGGACTAGCGGGCGGTCGCAGGAATTGCGCATGCGTCGAGTGTCGGTGATTGGTGGGTGGTGGTGGTGTACATGTAGGTAGTCGTGCAGGATGCGAACAGTGGTTTGGCGGCGGGCGCGTGTGATTGGCGGAGGGTCGGGGTGAGGCACGTGGTGTCGCGTGTATTTGGATGCAGGTCGCGTGTAGTCGGGCGTGGCAAGCGCGAAATGCAGACGCGGTGGAAGCACAAGGCGCAACAGCAGCAGCAGGCGGTTCCTGGCGGGTAGGCGTGGTGACATCAGCGAGGGCGCGGCGAGTAAGAGGGTGCATGAAATATCGGGATGCATACACATCCAAGGTGGTCGGTGTAGCAGCTGGGTGGCCGCTGGGTGATTAGGGCGGCAGGCCAGAAGCCAATGGTGGGGACGCTTGACCCTGGCTTGACCGCTCCGCGATAAGGCGCTAACGCAGGTGGGCCAGCCCTCGGCCTCCTGATGCTCCTTTCGACATAGCACCACCATGGCCGCCTGCTCTTCTTTTGCACGTCGCTCCTTTTGCTCAGTGTGCCTCGAAGCAGACTCCATTGACGACGTGTGTTTCGTGTCTTGCGCGCTCGAGCAACCCAGTCCACCTGCCGTCACGACACCATCCCGGCTGCAACCTCTATTCCACACGCTTGAAACACGCTCTACACCAGCGCCGTTTGTTCTTCGCGCCCCGCTGACCGAGCTGCCAATCTTGCCATTTGGCCCTTGACCGAGGGGCTGCACCACTGTGCTGCGTCATTGCAAACAGACAGACTTCTGTTCACCCAATCTCCCACTGCCCTACGTCCCTCGATGCTGCCCGTCTGACCGCACCATGACCGACGTAGCCATCCCCATGCCGCCGCCTACGGCAGAGCCCACGGTAGTAGAGCCTGTGGACCAAACCGTGCAGCGCTCTCCCAGGACCCACGTCGACAGCGCACCACTGCCAACAGACTCCATGGTCACGGTCCCGCTCTCAGAGACGGACGGCAGAACACCAGAAGACGACCAGTCTGCCTGCAGCTCGCCCACCTCGCCCGTGCGGCCAGACATTGTCGTCGGCGAGCGCAGGACGTCGTCGGCGCGGGCAGACTCAATCGAAATCCGCCAGGCGTTTGGACGGAGCCAGAGCCAGAGCCAGACGAGCGCCGATGCAACCACCACCCCAACAAGCCCGGCCATCTCTGTCCGGGACACGGACGCGCCCGAGTCGCCCAAGATAGATACTAGGGAGAGGCGAACAAGCAATGGTTCAGGCAAGAGCGAGGAAGTTGATTGGGCCGAGCTCGAGAAAAAGGAGGAACAGGAGCCAGAGGGCGAGGAAGAGGTGCGCGCCCACTCACGATATCTAATGCCCGTCGTCTGCTGACTCTCTTCTTCTTCTAGGCCATGGCCTTGCTGCTCGCTCGACTCGAGCAGGAAAACGACGCCATAATGTCAGACTCCAAAGCAAACATGAAGGTCTCTCGCGCCCGCAGCCAGTCGCGGCCCCCCTCCATCAACCAACTCAAGCGTCTCGTCGCCCATGACACTGCACAGGTCCGCTTCTCCCAGCTGCCCTCGCCGCCACCCATGACCGAGTTGGAGTTTTGGGCCGCCCTCGTTCGTGATTATCCACAGACGGTCCAGCGTCTGCCTACGCTCTGCTTGAACAAGATTCGAGGAGGTATTCCTGCGCCGCTGCGTGGCGTTGTATGGCAGAGTGCAGCTGGCTCACGGGAGAAGCTGATTGAGGATCAGTACGAGACACTGTGTGGCGAGTCCAGCCCATACGAGAACATCATCAATAAGGATCTTGGAAGGAGCTTCCCAGGTGTCGACATGTTCAAGGACGCCGATGGTGAGGGCCAAAAGATGCTTGGCCGCGTGCTCAAGTGCTTTAGTTTGTACGACCACAAGATCGGTTATTGCCAGGGTCTCGGTTTCCTCGTTGGACCACTGCTAATGCAAATGGGTGACAAGGAGGCTTTCTGTGTACTCGTCAGGTACGTCACTCTAGTTTAATAACTCCGCACCCCCGCTAACTCTTGCAGACTTATGGAAGACTACGACCTTCGTTCTTGTTTCCTTCCTGACCTATCTGGTCTGCATCTTCGCATCTTCCAGTTCCAGCAACTGCTCCACCATCACATGCCCGCGCTGGCGCAGCACCTCGATGACCAAGGTGTCGAGTCTGCATATCTCTCACAATGGTTCCTTTCATTTTTCGCCGTCACATGTCCGCTACCCATGCTCTTCCGCATCTACGATGTGCTGTTCGCCGAGGGCGCTTCCGAGACAATTATGCGTGTAGCACTCGCCCTCATGAAGCGCAACGAGCAAAAGCTCTTGTCATTAAGTGAATTCGAAGATGTCATGCAGTTGCTGCTTGGCCGCCAACTTTGGGATCCATATGGCCGGAACGCAGGGTCTGCCGATGAGTTGGTTGCCGATTTTGTCGGTTTCACAAATGATGTGACGCGGGAAAGGTTACAGGGGTTGGAGCAGCAGTACAAGGAAGCTCAGGATAGGGAGACGTCCAAGCAGCAGGTCCAGAAGTCGGCCTCGTCGTTCCTGGGCCGTTTGTGGGGCCCGTCCAACTCTTCGACCAAGTCTGTTTCACTCAGCCCGGGACTCTCGGCGCCTTCACGGCCTGTGAGCTTCCTTAGGCGCTCAGCCTCAAAGCAAAGCTTGGCTTCAACACTCAACTCAATGGCCGATTCAGACGCCTCAGCAAACACGCAAAGCACAGCCTTGACGGACATTTCGCGTGCGTCCAACGGAGACGCCTTGTCGATGAAGTCTGGCCATGGCTCCATGGCAATGGGCGCCTCATCCAGGGATAGGGACCTGCACTACCAGATTGAGCAGCTGCTCATGTCTGTAAGCCAGTTGCAAAGACAGAATAGCGAGCTTGAAGCCGCATTGCAAAAGCAGCGCGAGGATCGCAAGGAGGACCATCGCATCGTGCGGACAGTAGTAGACAAGGTCCGGAAGAAGACATCCACACTCGCTGTACCATCCACACGAGCGTCGCGGAGGCGGACGACAATCACCGCTGCATCTGTCGCTGCAGCGCTCGAGGAGGGCGCAGCCTCGAATGAACTGAGCGCAGAGGCCTCCGAAATAGTATCGACGCTCGAATCGCGATTCCCCGAATCCCAAGGCCACCACCGCGCCTCCTCCATCTTCGAAACCAAGGAGATTCTCAAAGAGAACCTAACCCGCACAAAAGAGCAACTCGCCAACGAAACACTGCGCGCCAACAGCTTTGCCCGTGACCTGAGCGACCGCGACGCCGAACTCCAAATCGCACGGGATGCCCTCCGAGACACACGGCAGCGCCTGCAAGACAGCTACAACCAGAGCCAACGTCAAGAAAAAACAATCCAAGAGCTACGACAGCACGCCCGCAAGCAATCCGCTGTCACCTCCTCCTGGGGCGGAACAGACAGCACCCCCGATACCCCGCCCTCACTCTCCCGCTCCACAACCTCCGATAGCGTCTCCGGCGGCCTACGCGAACTCCGTCTCGGCCGTACCCCATCTCAGAAATCAGAACGCCAATTCTCGTCTTCTCACCCCACCCCGATGTTCACCAAGCGCTCCTCATCACTGGCCACACAATCCTTCCTCGCAGGCGCCGACGGTGCCGTTCCAGACGCAAACAACGAGGCTCTCCTGCTTGAACTCGTGAACGCGAAGACAGCGGAGGCGGTGGCGAAGCAGGAACTCGAGGAGTTCAAGGTGCGGTTTGAGAATCTAAAGAGGATGGTGAGTACAGGTGGAAGCGGAAGCGCGAGCAGTACGCCGACAAATACGCCGGTTGTGACGCCGAGTCATGTGCCTAAGGAGCCGGTTGGGGGAAATGCAGGAGGTGGAGGGTGGGGATGGGCAGGGTGGAAGAGGACGGTTAGTAGTGCGACAATTACGGGGTCGTGAGTCCTTCGTCTGGGGACTTTGGAGTTGGAAGGGAAAGAGGGGGTGTACATATTACATATATATGCTTTTGTTTGACTTGCATACTTCTCCCCACTTTTCTTCTTTGAAATGGGGGAAAGGGAGAAGGGGGGAGAATACGAATGTAACTAGCCATCTTCGCCATTGGGCCTCTTTTTTTTTGCGAAGATATAGGGAGATTTGTCACAGCGCGCCGTTCTTTTTTTTGGACTCATGAGTATGGATAGATGGATGGATGGATGGATGGATAGGAGAGATATACACTGTGTAGTTTAGCCTTTGCTCTTTCTTTCTAAGGAGGGATCGAACTATGCTATCATTTGTAATGCGATGCTTGATTTTTCTTCTCTTCCATATACAAATACATCCAAGTCTTGGTTCGGGTTACTATGCTTTCTTCTCCAACTCCTTCACCCGCTTCAATCCCGCCCGCGCATTTGCCACACCCTCTGTAAACCCCATTTTCTTCGCGAGAGCAGCCGCTTCTTCGTACTGTTTGCGTGCTTCGGCGGTCTTGCCTTCCATTTCGAAGAATTCGCCTAGGTTGTGGGTAGCGACTGCGCAGCCCATGTCGCATTCTTCTGTGCGGTCTGGGGACTTTATTTGGTTGGCTTGTTGTAGGGCGCGTTCAGCCCATTGGCGGGCTTGCTCGATGAGGAGGGCGCGTGGGGCGGTGTTTGAGACGGGGAAGTCGGAGGGGAGGGGGGACATGGTGATTGCGTCGGTGGAGGAGGGTGGAGTCTGCTGGACTAGACAGGTGGAGATGTTGTTCACTGGGTGGATTAGTTTGGGCTGATATTAATAGAGAGACTGAGAACGTACTCAAGACTACGCTATGACATGAATTTGGTGGACATAGTTGTAGTGCCTTGACAAACAGAGGCGTGGCCAGGTAGTGCGAGTCAAACTGCTCGTAGTGTGTCCCGAGAGCTGCGTCGCGTCAGCATTTCATGCCCATACAAAGATTATAGTGCATACCTTCTAATGTGCCACCCATCTCTTCGTTCGTCAACCATGATCCCTCTCCATTCTTGACGCCCTCTTTCTCCCGTCGCTGCTGCTCCTTGAGCGCACTCTCGACAGCCTCAACAAGTCTCTTTTCGCCATTCTCAGGCTCATTGACGTATCGAACGTCATAGAGCTGGCCCAGCTTCAGATTAATCTGCACCATATTCTTTTTGACCCGACTGCGGTTCCCCGTTGTCCAGTGCTTGTCTGAAAACTCGTCGACCCATCGCTGGCAGTCGTTGCGCATAATCTCCAGCACATCAATTGCCAAGCTATAATACCCTGCATCCTCAAATAACTGAGCAATGGTGTACTTGACGCCCATTATCTCATCGCTAAAAGGATCCATGCCCA